TTTTTATTTTGCCATTCTACTTGCTTAAATCAACTATGTCAACAAACAGGATGTTCGGTTACTCGTGTTACAAACTTCGCCAGTAGATTCTACATTCAAAATGGAACCAAAAAGTCCTAATCGACTATGGCCCGAATCTCAACAGTTTCGGAGTTATTCCACTTTTTCTGATTTTTTAAGATTTCACGACCTTGCTTCAAATAAACAGTGATATCTCCAAAACTAAAATGTTTTGGACAAATACGTTGATACCATTGAAAACTACGTTAAATTTCCTATAACATGTGATCAATACTAAAGTAGTAAACGTTCGTAAAATAAGCTTTTAGTAGCGAGAACTTTGAAAAAAAAATTTTTTTTTTCAAAGTTGAAAAACTTACTATGGTGATTCTAAACTACTATTTCCAAACCTAGAGACCAGCAAATTCCAGAAAACTACTAAGTACTCCATTTAATATCCTTTTTAAAACTGGAAAAAATTGTATAATTTCTTTTTTAATTACTTTTTTCAAAGATGAAATTGGTGGAGGAAAGGAAAAAACTGTGGCTGACGGGTTGGTAAGGTGGAAAATTTTTGAATGAATTTATTAAATGTTTTTTTAAATTTTGATTCGAAATGCTCTCCAACCTCCGAAATGTACATTTCACATATAATTTTTTGTAGATTGCAAACTTGAATTTGACATCATTGTCGTGAATATTACGTTATAAAACCCTTAGATACCAACTTTAACAGAAATCGGTGTAAATTAATTTTTTGAGTTATAATTTCACTTGTGTCTGCCTGACTGACATTCCTGGTGTAAGCTCTTAACATAATTTTTCTCATAATGGACCGATTTTTATGGTTGATAATTCGTTTTAAAGAAATTTTCAATTTCAGTTTATAACTATAACAAATATTAAAATCGGACTATTTCCATTATATATATTAAAAAACGAGGTTAATTTCTGACAATTTTTCTATTTTGTGTATTTCTTAATAGAAATATTTTATATATTTTAATGGTACAAAGCTACGATACTCTTCTTTCAAATGGTCTACTTGAAATTAAAATCTTTTTAGCTGGTTTTAACTTACAACCGTTTCAATCACATATTCCGATAACGACTTCTCAAAAATCGGAAAAATTTTAGGGGTCAAATTATGGATAAATTTAAATTCAAACAGAAATTTATATTTAGGGATCGCTAGGGGTGCTAAACCGAAATTTCATATAGTTTCACAGAAAAAAATTACGACCTAGTTTATTTGTAAAATATTTGGTTATTTTAGACATTTTTTGGTTATTAATCAACGTTGATAGCTTTTACTATTTTTTATTGCGATCTAGATTAAAAGTAAAATGATTTTACTATTTTTTATTGCGATCTAGATTAAAAGTAAAATGATTTTACTATTTTTATTGCGTTCTAGATTAAAAGTAAAATGATTTATTGACCTAGTTGATTTAAACAAGTAGAACGGCAAAATAAAAATATTAAAAAAATGGAAAATTTCAACTTTCAGAATTAGTTTTGGCGAAAGAATCGGCTGAACGTGTCCGATATTTTGGAGTCTAGAACCACCAAAAAAGTTTGGTCTAAATCCGTAGCAACCATTGAAAATAAAACGATCCACCAAAACCAGTACTCAATTTTAAATTATTTCTTGTTTTCCTCCAGGTTGTTAAATTGTCACGTGTCCGTTGAGAATAACGTATGAGTTTTAGCAATTTTTATGCCATAGCAATGGCCACACTCCGGATAGTTTATTTACTTAATCAACCACCACTATCTTCCACGAAATGGATCGTCGTTCTGAAAGGAAAGAAAGCGTCATTTAAATTTCCCTTTGGCGTGATTATAAATTCCTGGAGTTTCTTTCACGCCTCGTCTATTGTATTACATCCTTGTCAAATTTTCCGACGATTGTACCTGAGAAGAAATCAAAAACCGGCGTTTTTCTTTAAAATGGACCACTTCCTGCCATCCACAAACTCAAGATGATTTTTTATTTCAACATTAAATAAAATAAAACTGCATCGATGAGTGAAAACAGGCTGTATAATTATTTAATTCGTCCAGTATGTAAAACTAGAACAACAAATATTTACAAATAAACCTATTTATTTATAACATAACAACCGGATAATTGGGTATAGTTAATAGTCCTTAAATAAACAATGGCCTTGATTAGTTTTATTGAACACCGTGCTAAGGATGAAACAGAAATTCTTTTTCAACCTAGCAATCAATGCTAAACTAGTAACGTAAATTGCGTTCTTGTTGAATAAATTATCCAATCTATATAGGATGAGCTTCCCTAAAACAGAATCTTTAATTATTACCGTGTTAATTTATTATTGTAATTTTGTTGGTTTCTCAAATAGGATGTCTGTGAGCTCTTTAATCATTTTAATTCTATGTTACAAATATTTTGACTTATGCTGAAATGACGGTACTCCACTGATTCAACTGGATGTTACACATTTATTGATCCGTTTAGCCTCACAATTCATCACTTTTTCGCCCCATTACGCAACCTTTCTGATATGAACATGAAATATTGGGTATAAAAGCTCTTACTTAGAAGTAATATGGTAGTTTTTTGTTTTTTTTAAACCGACATTGCGATGTATATAATCTTATGTCAATCCTACTTTGTTAATTTCCTTTTAAGTCTTTTAAATTAGCCGAAATTAATGGCAAAAAGGATTATAAATTATTTAAAATAAATAAATAAAAAACAAGTAGCCTAGAAAAACCAGTTTTAAGTTTTGACATTGCTGATTCTCTCATGTTGAGATAATAATGAATAAAACGCCTAAATATAAGTTTTTGTCTATAAAAATATAATAAAATATTCTTCATTTCGTTTTTGAAGGATTAATTGATTTTCTACCGTCGTTAATAAAAAATAAAAAGGTTCTTGTGCGTCATCTAAGAATCTGTGTCATCTCTGGTATCTGGACCAATTGGACCCTTGAGACATTAATAAAATGCCAGACGTGATTATTTCATTATTTGTTGCACTTTTTCAAGAACTTATTGAATATTTAATTATTTATGTGGCGGAACTTTTTTTTTCTAACACTAAGGCCAGCGCACTCTCCCCGAGTACGCATGCCATGAGAAATTGGCCAATGCCAGTACACCCTTGGCTTGGCGGTACCCCACAGTTCCACTCTGTATGTGTGGTCGCAGTATAGTCCTGTGTCATAAGGTTTGTTTTGTTTCGTAGACGCCGGCGGGAGTAAGTATTGAATATCTACCCTCTAAGTCCGGCGCTACAAGGGATAGTTGCCGGCTGTTGCGTAAAGGATTTAATGTATAAAAATTTTAATAATTCGTTCGAATTTATTAATTCACAATTTATGATATAAATATGGAAATTAAAATCTGGCCAGAAACAAAACAAAGTTAACGAGAAGAAATATAGATATAAAGAGAGAGATAAGTTGATACACAAAATGACAATGTTGAGAAGAAAAAAAATAAGGATGTTCATACGTCTTGTTGTCGATTCACGACAGTGAAGATCAGACGATAATTTTGTGTTTATCTTGATTGGAGTCTGGGAGCCACTTGCCGGACGAAGTCAAAGGTGCGTTCATTCGTACCCGTCGGAAACCGGGGACTCCAGCGTCTTGATTTTTACAAATTTTCTGTTTTTCATAATTGTTAAAATGATAAATTTAAGATAATGAATTATAAGATTTCTTATTGACTATTCATACATAAAAATGTTTACATTGGCGTAAACAGTTTAGTATTGATGGTCAAGGTGGATTTTGTTCCTAGAAGTCCAAGACTTCTGTTTAGGTGTTATCTCATAAGTTTTGGGAATTCCACGTCACTCTGATGTCTAGGTCTAGTCCTAAGTATTTGATTTTAATGGAAATCGGTATCGCTTTGTTTTTGATGTACAGACTATATTTTCAATGTGCACGAACCCTGTGTGCAATTTTCTTTATTCCATCTTGTCCTCCACTTTTTGCACCTGTCGATAAACTCAAAGTGTACTTGGATGTTGGAAGTGACTTGGATAGGATTTGAGTGACAAAATTGCAGTATCATCCGGTAAATAATGTTATTAGGATGTATATGAAGGTCAGCATCAGATTGTACAAGTCTGACTTAAGAGAACTGGTGCCGCATCTCGCTTTGAAGCAGCGGCCAGTTAGGTAAAATTTCATGATAAGGTAATAAGGAATGGGTAGGAAATATTTAAGTTTAAAAAGTGTGACCAGGTACCGACCCTATTTATTGAAAGCCTGTGTTACATCTAGGAAAGCACCCAAGCAATACTCTTTATTCTGTAGAGCAGATGTTGGATCATGAAATGATAATGACAGAAGCCGAATTGGTGACAAGGAATGATTTTAAGAGTGTCTTGGATTTTGGACATTGAAAGAAGCAGGCTGATAGGGTCTGTATAAGAGGATGTGGTTGGGAGGTTTGTGAGTTTTGAGAATGAGGATAACAACAGAATATTTCCAGTATTTCCACAAGAAACAAAATTGAGTCAATCCTTTTTTTTTTTCATCATTTCTACCAAATTGAGTGGTTCATAGGATGGCATTACATACTGTGGTTAAGAAAAATTTTGTGGAAAGTTTTGAAAAATGGTGGAAATAATTAGATTGAGGGGACTTTCTATTTTGGGATTTCTGAATGTGGTACTTTACTTCATAAGGGTGAAAAGGGTTGAGAGGGAGATGAAGAAGTGGTGTACTAAGGTTGTCAGTACCTGTTGTGCGCGAGGGGCATCATTTACGAGGAGGAAAGGTGGATTCTAAATGGGTTGCAAATAGGTTTGATGATGAAACTAAAATTACAAAATTGTCATAGCTTTATTTATGACTGAATATAAAATTTAATTGGTTTCCCCTTCATAAACACGATCTTTTTGAATGGTGTTCTCTTTTTTGTTCTTAAAAACCATTCATCAAGATTAATACAGTTTTTTCATTTGTCTATTGTAACATCAGTTGTAATGTTTTGACTTTTTGTTTTAGCCTAAACGAGGATTGCCAATCTGCAGTGAGTGCCTAGGAACTGCGAATAAAAATAAAGCCGGAGTTGAAGAGGCTTTGAGTATATGCAGTGGCTGCGGTGCAAGTGTACATCCATCGTGCGCCGCTAAGGGCGACCTGTTCACTTGCCTAATTACCAAAGGGAACATTTGGCACTGCGAAGAATGTGCCGTTTGTGCAAAATGTAGAGTCTGTACTGACAAGGTCTGTAATTTACTTTATTCCTTTAATCGTTCAAAATATGCAAAAAGGAAATCCTCTTAACGATTTGATGTCTGTTCCTTTACAGATTTGCATATGGAAATGCGGTTCATGCGAGAGGGGCTATCACCTGGATTGCATGAACCCTCCGCTGGACAAGAAATCCAAATCGCCGTGGAAATGTGAGCATTGTACAGATGGAAAAGAGGAAGAAAAGGATAAAAACGAAACCCTCCTCTCTACTTCATCTGGGACGCTGAGCTCATCCACATCCCCGAAGAAGCAGAAGAGTCTAAGAACTCAACATTTAAGAAGTCTCAGGTATATTTTCAAATCGCTACATTTTTTGATCCAAAAAATAATACTTGTTTTTCACTATTATACACAGATTTGAAAGAAAAGATTTAAAAATGTCTAGCGTGAGTGTAAATTATTTATTTAACTAATTATTTGAATTTTTTATTTAAGGAATTGCCTGCCTGGAAAAATTAAAAAGTTATGTTTGTAAAAGTTGGTTGTGTGGGAAAATAAGTATTTACAAATGAAACATAAATATCACATTGTCATAATATTTTTTGTTGGCAAATGTAATATTTAAATATTTAAGAAAAGAGCTTGCGTAGAAATAAAGAATTTGCTAAAAAAATGTTTAAATATATCATTATATCCAATATAGATGATATGTGAAATATTGGGGTGAAAGTAAGTTTTAAAGGATTTACAAGACTGGATATTACTAGTGTTAAATTGCATTTTGTCGAAGTGTAAACAACATTGTTGTTTTATATTTTTTGGCTTTCTTTTCAGGAACTAGAAAACCTTCAAACTCATTTTCTTTATAGTTTTATGGTGAAAAGAAACTCAAAAAATATAAAAACTCAACAACCGGAAAAGAAGAGCAAAAAAATAGTTTTTTAGTTTCCAAACATCGGTTTTTGTGCTAACAGCAGGAAGCTTTACTTTTCTATGTACATTTGAAGAAAAAATCAACTGAAGGTATGTTTCATCAATTTCAACTTCGTGGGTACATGGTTCAAAAGTGGCAGTTTTGAGATGGAGGATAAGAAACGTGAAGGATGCAAATTTGGAGGCATTATTGAACATAGAATCGTGTCAAACGCTAAAACTTGGATAATCTTTGGAAGTTACTCAAGCAGCCTCTATCCAAAATTACAGCCACTGCCGTGATGAACACAAATTGTTATTGATTTTCCAAATGGAACAAGTTGGCACATGATTATGGTTGTCCGTTCATGTTTATTAACGAAAATATAAATGATTGGCCAGGATTATCTGAAATCCTTCTAAGCAAAATTAGGAAAGTCCATCACGAGATTTGCCTAAGGAAAGTCTCATTATCCACCCACTTGAACCATTCATCTTTTCAGTGGCTACTGATGGACAATACTTTGTGTAATTAATTTATTACCATTTTTGACAATAATTTTGACAAAAAAATCCTTTAAAGCTTACTCGTACCCCAATACAATTCTTTTCTTCAATCTTACATTAAATTATTTTAAACTTATTATTTAAAATGTAAAAAGAATTTCTGGCAAACAGTTTACAGTTTACTCTCGATAAATCAAAATTCACGGGACTATCCAACTCTAGGCAAGAGTTTAATTTATCGAGGTTGATGTTCATCTTATAAAATTAAAAAGCCACACAAGGAAGTGTAATCATTAGTAAATTATGTAAATGGTCTGCAGGGTGATGAACTAAAAACTCATAAATACACAAATTAACAACAGAAAAACACATTTAAGTCACAAAACACTATAAAATTCCCTAAAGCCGGGTCCAGACGAGTGTAATGTAACACGTAACGTAACGCGTAATGCAAGGCGAATTCTTTGTGTGGACGCTACTACGAGCATTACATGTAACGCTCGCCCAACCGTTCGACCGGATCCATCGGGGTGTCGGTTTTTTGTGCGAACACAAAGGCGCTCGCAGTTCTTGTTTGGACGGCGTTCGTGGCAGTTGTGTAGTGTGGACGTTCATGATGTGGAGTGACGAACAGTCGCTTGAACTTATTGGTTTATACCATGTTCGTAGCAACTGAGTGGAACAGCCCCCTCTTCAAGATTCGCGTTACATGATTCGCGTTGAGTTCGTTTGCCGTCCACACTGTTCACTCTAAATTACACATAATCCACATTACATGTTACACCCGTCTGGACCCGCCTTTAGATTCTTTCTTTCAGATCTTAGATTCTTTTACAACTTTACAAAACTTAAATCTTAAAAAAGTTAAGGCAAATGAAATGTTTGCATGTGGCAGACTGAATAAGACCACTGAATAACAGGGGTTCAACAAATTATGAAGTGTGGGAGAAAAAATTCAAAGGTAGTTTACTTATTTACGCATCGTTCCTGCTATTTGGCCCGAATTTGTTTTATTGAGAGTACTTACCATATTCTTATAGGGACCAGAGAATTTGTTTCTTATCGGGAGTTTACTGTATTTAATATTTGTAGTGGATGAGTTGTATTTAAAGTCAAATAACTTTAATAAACCTTATTTTATGTTTAGGAAAGCTGCAAGGGCTGTTGGGAAGAAGGGACATACGCGCTCACTGAGCATAGAAAGCAGCTCGGAGGATGGTAATGATCATCTACCCAACCCATCTCCCTCCTACCCAACGTCCTTCCACCTGCCGTCTGGGGGCCGGCGAATCGAGATCAGTGAAACTATTTCAAAAGAGAAACAAAAGTTTTTCAGGTGTTCCGCATTTTACAAGAGATACAATAATAGCAATAATAATAACAATAATATCAATGTGAACACAAGGGCAGAGCTGCAGCAACCCTTAGCCCCAAAAAGTAATGCAATAACACCCGTGACCCCACTCACTCAATTCCCGCGACATGTGCCTCCGCTTAATCCTCATTCTGACAGTAAAATGCCTTTTGGTTGTTTTGATGATTCCGATGAGCCTTGGGGCTTTGCTGCGGTTAAATTTGAAGCCGTTAAGGGACACAATGACATTTTCTCGCCTCGAGAGGCAAAAGGGCGGCGGTGGAAGAAAGACAGCCCTGTACAAAAGTCCCCGTCTAGCCTCGTCAAATCCGCGGTCAACTCCAAGGTACATGAACTCGAACGGAGGAAGTTAATTGGGGAAGGGTGTAAACTGATGACAGCACATCATCGGCTGCCAGCAGAAGAATGGAACAGGGAACGCCAAACAGAGGGTAAGGAATAACACCGGCCCCCATACCTTCCTAACACCTCTCCTAACAACAACAAGGTGTGCGTCTGAAGAATTTACAAAATGAAGTCTACATTAAGGAGCAACATTTTATATCAGAAAAAAATTCAAACATTTTTGTATAATGCACAACAAAAATTTTCAACTTCCTATTGGTTATATGTATACTGTCTATGAAAATTGTGTCATCTCTTTTACTATTTTACGAAGGATTTCTTGTTGTTGCTAGGAGAATTTCCCTGCACCTCAGCCAGGCTGTTTTTCTTAAAAAAAACTTACGAGAAATTTTATAAATTAATATTTTAATTTGAGTATATGGTTTTTGTTAAATTGTTTTTTTGCTAATTTTATTGGAACATGCTTTTCAATGATCTGGTCGGCCCCCACAAGCTTTTGAAAAGTTGACTTGTGTGCACAGACAAGATGCTTGCTAGAAAGCCTGGCTCTCCTAACAAAGCAGACAATTTGCACACTTAACACCTATAGATTTTAATAAATAATATATTAACTACCATAGGGTGATTTGGCCATTATTACATTTTTCTTATTGGTGTATCGAGCGTTAACTAGCTGTAACAACACAAGCAATTCAAGAAAATAAAGGGTGTCTTGAAACGACCTTTTATTTATGAACTATATTCAACACAATAATCAATTATTTTCAAAGAAGCTGGAAAAATAAAGCTGGATACTACTGCTAAAGTATGTGCGAGTAAATTGGAACACAGTTACAAATAAATCATATAGCATTGACTTTTTTCTCAAGAACTAGATTTTTTTATAAATAATTTGTTTGTATGTCTGCAGGGAGAAACACCATTGGATTACATCATAACACAGTTTTTGATTGTTTGAAAATTTTATAGTTAGGTTTGGTTTTTGTATGGATTATTTTCTACTGTGGAAGTTTGTGATTGTTAAAAAAAAAAAAAAAAAAACTATTCATTATTAAAGGTAAAATCTTTTTTCCCGGTGAGTAAATTATAGAATACACACTGATTTTAAGTGGTAAATTTACATTTTTGTTTATTAGACTTTTCTAAATAGGTACTGTTTTCTTGTTTGTTTTCCCTTGTCTGATTCCTTCTAGCAAAGTAAATTTTGTTGTTAGTTAATAAAAAATATGGACTATCTTGATACAACTTAGCTACACCAAATAAGATCAACATCTGTAAACTCACTTGTAATTTAAGTTTTTTTTTTTTTTTGGGGGGGGGGTGGAATGTTTGAATGTGCAGTCACTCTCAATAACTCGAATCTCAGGGTGAAATTAAAAAATTTTAGTTATCGAGTTTTTCAACTAATCGAGGTTTGAGGTATTGAGCCAGCTAATCCACTTGCTGTCATATTTAACTTCTTTTTTTTTTTTTTTTTTTTTTTTTGAACGGAAAAAAAAACCCCTGCCCTATATAGTGTGCTATATGGTTGCTTGGGCTTAGAAAGAAAATTAGTCTAATCTTGATTTTCATTTTGAAATTAACTTTCGATTTATAGAGGTAAAACTGTGGGAAAAGACTGGGGGATTAAAAAAAAAAAATTGAGTTGCCGAGGAATTTGAGTTATTAAAATTTGACTTATGGAGAGTCGACTGTAGTATCTGTATATAACTCATGATTTATGCTATAAGACCTTGCTTTCGAGAGACAAAACATAAAATTAAATAATGGCCATTTGTTTCCCCCTTTTTAAAATAAACTTGCCAAATATGTGTATTCGATACATGTGTGAATGGGCTTTTTCCTTTTTTATTTTAATTGTGGTGTTAAGTATGGATATTGACTTGATACCTACCTTATAAATTACCCCTTGCAACTTTTTTTAAAATCTGGTTAATAATATTAATAAATTAACAAAATTGATTTTTTCTTAAACTTTTTTTTTCGCAATGTAATTTTGCTATTATAAAATTGCAGCAGCTACAATTACAAGTATTATATCAAATGATTTGCCTCCTGGAGTGACCCAGAAGGATCTGGATACTTTTAAAACAGCGAGGGAAAACGCTGCCAGGGTTGGTATTTTTTAAGTCGCACCTCATTTTCCAACGGATAGAATTATTAAAAAAAATGGGTGACTTTTAGTTGACAAAGCCGAACTCGACTTCAGATCACGATTTATTGGCCAGCAGCGGAGCAGGTGGTTCTTTGAGGTGTCCGGCTTCAATAGAGTTCGGAAAACACCACATTCACACTTGGTATTCATCACCTTTCCCACAGGAATATGCTAGGTATGTTTAATTACAGTACAAAACACATTTTTAATTCTCACTATTAAGATTTAAAAAAAAAAAATATTTCAAAGATTGAGTTTTCAAAATTTAATGCTTTTTAGACAAGATTAATTATTAGCTCATTCTTAACATGCATTAATTTCTTTAAACTTGTTTCACCACTCTTAGACACAATGCATTCTGAAGGCCAAACCGAAGTGACTTTGCTTGGACTGAACAAGTTAAATAAAACTTGTTTGTTTTCAAGGCATTTTCAGTCGCCTGCTAAAAATTGCAATGTTATTCAATGTGAATGGATTTGTGATGAAATAGGTTCTATTTTGGATTTGTCCAATGTTGATTAGTCCGATGTTCTACTATTGAGCTACTGGAATTGTAGGGGAAAAAATAAGTGTTAAATGGTTGGATAGTGGATCAATGTTGAAAAAGCTTAATGGTAGAGTATTGGAGTACAATCTTAGGTTTGAATCCTACCTGTGATGTTTTCATTTAGACCAACACCCTGGCTTACTAATTCTTGGCCAAGTACTCTGAGTGCTGGTATCACTGAATAAGGTGTTTATAGATTTCATGACTTGGCCTACATTTTAGTTGAATTTGTTCGTTTTCTTGAGCGGCATTTGTCAGAAGAAAAATCCTTCAGATAATTAATTTAAATTAAAAAATACAATATTAAAATTAATGCTGCAATGCTAGAAGAATATCCCAAAATATCGAACCAAATACCTCTTCAAAACGTCATCTAAAAATTAGCAATAAACGCATTTCATTTTAATTGGCAATTAAAATGCAATAGTTGGGAATTCTATTCCTTCTAAGCTAAATGTGATAATCTATTTGAACCAACTTTATTAGAAAAAAAAGCTAGATAATATTTGCAGTAAGTAAAAACATCTGAACAGTATTTTGTGGCGTGGTGGGATGCTTGGGCGGCAAAACAAAGAAAGAAAAAAAAACAATATTTTAATAATTGTTGGTTAAACATGTGTAGTGGTCTGATTGTCAAGGGTTGGTTTTAAATTAATTGTAGAAACCAATAATAATAAAAATAAATCTTTCAAAATTATCTTTTCATTTAAGTTAGTTGATTTTTCCCCAGTTGGAAGTAAAATGACTTTTTTCCTAATAAATAGAAACTGTACATATATAACAGTTTTTATTAATTATGATTTATTTGTAAGTTTATTTTGTACAATAATTTTTTCGATTTTGCTTTTAAAATTAAAATAATATTGTAAAAATGTTATATATATGATGATAATTTTCATCATTTTTCGGAAAAACAAGCCCGCCGTAATATTTTACAACAAAATAATTTACTATAGAGTTTTTGAACACTTGACTAAGTATTAAATTGTATGCTGCTACTTGCATTCCAGAAGGATTATCAGCCATTTAAATAACCGACAGAATCGAGGAGCTGTTGAAATTTTGGGAATTTTTGCAGAAGTAGGTTCTACAAATAGAACATTAGTTAAAATAGTTATTTGTTAAGTTATAAAATTCACCTGACATTTCCAGTTGGAAGTATGTTATGAGTCCAATATCTTCTATAAATTATTTAATATTTCCACCAGATATGAGGAAAATATTTAATTGTTATACAATAGTTGGAAAGGAATCGGATCGCTATTTGTCCTGACTGGAAAAACTCTCTTTGGCATGGCTTGGCCTGCAGTGTGGAACAAGCCTCAATATTTATTTATTGAGGTATTGTACAACTATTATATTGATAGATAGAATAAAATAACAAACTCTCATTTTATTGCTTACAATTGGAACAAATGGGGAGTTGAAATGAGAAGTTGGTGGCAGGGGCGAACCAAGTCACGGTAGCTCAAGTGGTTGAGCAGTGTATTTAGTTGATAGTTGTGGGTTCAATTCCCACCTGTGACAGATTTTTCATTTTGAAAAAATGTGTATAATTAATTGAGTAATTATATAATTAAGAATAAGCTGATAAAAATAATTAAAAATTTAAACTTTTGTTTTGTTTTCAGACTTGGAAAGTTGTTTCTGTGCGAATTCTGTTTAAAATACACCAAGAGTAAGGCTGTCTTGAGGAGACACTTACACAAATGCACCTGGAGACATCCGCCCGGTACTGAAATTTACAGGCACAACAATCTGTCTGTTTTTGAGGTGTTTATTTTATTAATTATGCTCCAAGTGAAAACTTTCCAAATTTTGAACAATTGAAAAACAAAAATCTCTTCTGTTTTCAGGTGGATGGCAATGTTGCAAAGTTTTACTGTCAAAATTTGTGCCTTCTGGCGAAACTGTTTCTGGACCACAAAACTCTTTATTACGATGTAGAACCTTTTTTATTTTATGTCTTAACTAAAAATGATGATCAGGTTGGTTTGAATTTTTTAATATCTATGATTTTTATTTGAAACAAGTAATAAATTTTAATTAATTTTTTTTAAGGGTTTCCATTTAGTTGGATATTTTTCAAAAGAAAAGCATTGTTTACAAAAATATAATGTGTCTTGTATTATGACACTACCTCACTATCAACGGCAAGGTTTTGGAAGATTCCTCATTGATTTCAGTAAGTGTTTTTCTAGCCCACTTGGTCTATTTTTCAAAACTTTAAATTATTTCTGATTTATTGTTTAGGTTACCTCCTGTCGAAGCAAGAAGGCCAGCCTGGCACACCTGAAAAACCGCTTTCAGATCTTGGCAGGGTCTCTTATCATGCATATTGGAAATCAGTTATTCTCGAGTATATTAATGAACATCGGGATGAAAATTTTTCTATAAGCGAACTTTCAAAAGGAACTGGTAATTAGAAAAAATAGATATTAACCCACTGGATACAATAAATTGATTTTATTTACAGGAGTCAAAGCACAAGATATTGCCGAAATGCTTCAAATAATGGGAATGGTGAGACCGTCCAAGGTTGAACTCTGTGAGAGTAGTTCTAAAGTAGTAGTAGCTGTAGATTGGGCAATGGTTGATGCTCATGCTGAAAGACTGAAAAGAAGCAAATCTGTGAGGATTAAGATAGAGCCAGAATGCCTTAGGTGGACTCCACTCATTCCTACTCTTGTTAATCCTTATAAGAATGACGTATGTATTTATTTGTTGCTAAATCAGTTTTGATTAAGTGTTATTTATTGGAATTTATTGAATTAAAGGATGATGATGAGGATGACGATGATGACGACGATGATGATGAAGAAGAGGAAGAAGAAGAGACAAAGGTTGATGAAGAGGAAGAGGGTGAAGAAGATGAAGAGGAGAAAGAAGAAGTGGTAGCCGATTTAAAAACAAAAGAAAAAGTTAAAATAGAAACAAAAGAAGTCAAAGAAGAAAAAATCAAACCAGTTCTTTCGCCAAAGCCTATGACGCCTGTACCTTCGAATTCAGATACGTTTTCACTACGTACGCCGAAAGGAGGAAGTCGTTTAAAGCAAGGGTAAAATACTTATTCAAAAGAGTATTAATGAGTCAATTATCAATTTTTTCTTTTTTTTTTTTTCTTTTTAGACTCCTTCCAGAATTATTTAAGAAGCAGACAGACGTAAATCTAAAGGCGCCGAAATTAAAACCGGAGGTTCCTTTCGATGAGCCAATTTTGGACAAAAGAAGGAGAACAAAGAGAAAGTATGCAGAGGTTGAAGAGGATGATGATGTTGAAGAGAGTAACACCGAACCAGCTCCATCAGTAAACTTGGAGACGAAACAATCAGACAGAAAAAAGAAGAAATCTGTTATAGAGCCATCGCCGCTCATTAAACCTAGTCGTCTAAAGATTCCCGGTACACCTTTGTTAACTCCAGTGGTCAATGATTCGGTTACTGAGCCAGTAAGTATTTTTAATTAAATCTATTGTAAAGAGATTTATCGATTTGTATCACAATTGAATCTTTTTAAGGAAACGACTGGAAGGAGGACTCGTCGTCCGAAAGTTACTCTTGAAGCGAAAGAAGGTATTGAATTTTTAAAACGTTTTATATTTAGACTATTTCTTATTTATTTATTCTGTTTAGCTGAGGAAGAGGAAGTTGAGGAGGAATCCACTCCTAAATTATCCAAAAGGCAAATTGCTGCTCGAGAAAGGTGGGCCAAAAGGAAACAGAAGAAATTGGAAGCTGAAAATGAGCCTCCTGTTGATCAAACTTATGAAGAAGCTTCTAATGAGGAAGAGCTTTCTGATGCCAGGTTTGTCTAATCAGTGTATACAATTATTTATTTTGTGTACTATTTAATAACTTTCTCTACAGCCCACTCAGGAAAAAGAAGAACAGTAAAAGGATGGAAAGCGTCCAGAGTCCTGTTAAAGAAGACAACCTTGCAAAGGTCAAAACTGACGAAAGGATAACACAGACTGCAAAAGATTCTAAAAGGTCAGGAAAGAAAGTGGAAACTCCCAAGCCAAAAGAAAAGTCGCCAGTTAAGGTTGTTGAACCTGAAGAAAAGTCAGAAGAGAAAGAAGAAAACGATGAAAGCAGTGTTTCGGAGACTCCTGCAGAAACACCTGAGGCTCTTACGAGGAAGCGAGGATGGGCCAAAGGTGTTTCAAGGAAGGATTACACACCAAAAGATAAACCTAAAAAGAAACCTAGCAGGCAGTGGGGTGTTAAATCCAGACGGGTATGTTATTTTAATTTGTTACCCTTAACATACACAATTAATTAATAATTTCCGTCTTTTAGGGTCGAGGCAAGAAAAAGATTGCTAAAAAATCACAGGCTCTCCCTCTTGAGGATACTACCGACGCTCAAAGCAGTGAGATCGAAGATAGTGCCCAATCGTCTCCGAGACAAGACTCCCATGTCAATTCTGATAGCTCTTCTGATGAGGAAGAGCTTATTGAAAACAAGGAAGTTCCCGAGCTTGAAAAAGATGTCTGTGATAGCAAGGTGGAAGAGAAAAACGCCCACACTGAGGAAGTGGTGTCCAGTAACACAGAAGAAACTAAAGATTCGAAAGAAGATGATGAAGATAAACAAAAACCTGTCCTTGAGGAAGTCACTGCTGAAGCAGTTGAAGATAACAATGAGTCATTATCACCTCCAGTTCTTCCCCCAGCAATTGAGGTAATGACTAAATGACTTATAGTTTTTGCCTTTTAATATTTCTTTTTATTACAAAAATGTAAACCAGTATTTTAATTATTTAAAGCAATGTTTGTTTCATTATTTCCAATGTGTTTCAGGTTGATATGGATGAGGAAGATAAAACTGCTGAGCCTAAACAGGAAGAAAATGGTAAAGCATCTGATTCAGATGCAAACAAGGAGGAAGAAACGAAAGAAGAAGAACAAAAGAAAGAGGAAGTTAAAAAGGGATCCACTCCTAGCCCAGATTCCCACCAACCCGAACCATCTTCAGAACAGCCGATGCCCAATGTGCCTTCTCCTAGTCCTTCTCAATCTGAACATAAACATTCCCCTGAACAAACAGCACCGGTACTCCAGCCTGTGGAGCCGCTGCCTGAAAAACCGTTTACACCTCCCAAGCAAGTTGAGGAAAATGTAGAGTTGCCTGTAGTCCAACAGACTTATGCAGACATTTCTAGGCCACCAGTATTGGAAAAAGTCGAACAGAACCCGATCCAACAGAACGAGCATCAACTTCCTCCAAATATAATACCGGAGATGGTCAAAAAACCCGAAGTTAAGGAAAATCCCTTTGTGCCCGAGGAAACGAAGAAACCGTTGCCCTTACCGATGGAAGTGGACTTGACACAATGCGATGATAGTCAGTCTCCTGCAAAGCCTGTTGTCGAAGAACAACCACCAATACCCGAATTGGTAAAAGAAAAATGTTCACCCCCGATAGAAAAGAAACTCCCTCATCAACCTGTTTCAAGGCCTTATGAGCAAAAAATTCCTTTAGAAAGGTACCCTTCTCCTGTAAAAGAAAAAAAGGAAAAAAAGCACACCTCAATTGTTGTTTTAGATGATGATCATGTGAAAGCAAGAGAGGTTCCTAGGGAAGAAGTTCCTCCACCTGCAAAACAGCCAAAAGTAACAGCTCCCAGCTATAACACGGAACCTCCAAACAATTCAGTTCACTCGATACATCCTTATGTAAGCGGGTGCGGAGAGCTTGATGTAAATCTCGGTATGGAGCCTCAGCCTCCTCCGCCTAACGATATGTTAGAACAGCAGAGGCAGCTCCAGTACAGTGATTGTGCCCAACAGAGCTTGGCTTTACACCATCATCATTTAACTCCTCCTTCCCATATGAACATGGTGTACCAACAGCAACGGTCGAGCAAGCAGTCTGTGGCCAGCAGATCCGCCTCCTCAAACCAGCGACAAGTGCATCACCCTTCCTCCTCACCCCATTATCACCAGAGCCCGAATTACATAATGTCGCAGGGAAGCGCGTACGTCAGCGTATTGAGTCATAGAATGCAGAATCCCCCGCAAAGGCTAGGCCCGTCCGGATCATGTTCTGTATCGTCGCCGAATTTTTATTTGCAAACCCAACAAAATTCGCCAAATTCGCTAGTGAAACTGCAACAGTTGACCAACGGTCTCGACTCGATTCCTGGCCACTGTGGAACGATGACACCGCCTCCGAGGGTGGATCTGACCCCTCCACCCAGCCATGCGACACCTCCTCCTAATCATTATAAATTCTATCCTACAAATCAAAGACATTCAAATATATCGCCCGCCCCTCAGCCGAGAGGTCCACACAATATGCTCCAGTATAACACTTTCAACAGCGGCTACTCCAGGCAGCAAACTCCGACAGTTACGGGTTATATCACAAACAGTGCAGGTTTTATAAACCAAGCAGCACAGCTACCGATGCAAATGATGCAGTCGCAGTATCCACAAGATCCTCAACAGAATGCAATGTACCCAACGTACGGCTATCATATTAACAGCCCTTTGATGCAACCTCTTAATGGTACAATGAGGAGATAAAATGCATGTCCTCTCATCGCTTAAGAACAGTTCTACTTAATTATAATGTAAATTGTGAGAGATGTAAATATTAATTGTAAAATCAAACTGTTGCACATTTGTACAGAGAAAACAAATGTATTTTATTATAAATTTTCTGTTTATAACTTTTTTATTAAATGTTATTTATGTCACGATAGTTTTTATTATTAAATATTAATACAATTCAAAAGACGAAGTTTGTATATAACACTTGTTTTATAGAAGTATCGTTAGTACAATGTACATAAATAAAATTCAAATTGAACTTTTAGCTTAGTTTTTCTTTATTAAACTTTTACTGTTATGTGAAAACAACAGGTGCAGTTTTTTGTTTTGTTTAAAAAAAAAATTATATTTCAGTATTCTTGTGTAAATTTTCAATTTTTATGTTCCATAATTTATTCCTGTGAATACTCAAATCATTTGATTCTATTTAAAATACCTGTGATATATAAAATTCTGTAATATGTCTTATTTTCCAAAAGCACCGTTTCACAATATTGTTCAAAAAACAAAATTTTTCTCTTTTGTAGTTGGATCAATACAGTTTATTAATTTTTGTATGTAATTTCATAAAAATAAAAATAGCTGTATATAAAATTGCTAAACTATATTAAAATTATTGTGACTAATTATTTAAAGATAATTCTAATACCCAGAAGTCAGCGTAATTTGCACAAAGGTGGATGACGAAAAAAGACTGGTTAAAATATTTTTAAAATTTATATTTGTGAAATCTCTGAACTAGTCATTCATAAATAAGACTATTCATATGGACGTGAAAAGAATGTATACTTACACGTAGTGGTACGCATTACCACACAGACTTTCAATCGTATTAATTGTTTATTGTAAATTTTTAAAATTTAAATAAAAATGACTTCAATGATTGAAATAGACACATCTATACAATTGTTTTTTTCATAAAGAAGTATGATACAAAGGCTTTCCTTTCAAAACCTGGGAGTTGGATTCTTCAACCTAAAAGCAAAAAAAGATTAAAATAAAATCCTAAATTGTTAAGAGGAAAACATACAAAGACGTTAACATAGTCTCCAGGTTTAATATGCTCGAGTACGCTGGAATTTTCACTCTGTGGTATCGCCAAACGGGGTATTATCACCTTGATATTACCGTCGTTTCTACCTGTTAGAAAATTATCAGATTTCTTGCTCACCTGAGAAAAAATAAGCAGCTTTTAAGTTGTTTTACTGTTACAAACTTTATTTAATGAATTGAATATATATAAATAGGTATATAGTGGAAATATGCATTTATGGATCATATATTCAGGTTATTCTATAAGGTTAGTTGACAAACACATTTAAAAAAACTGAAAAATGGGGAGTCGGTGGCTGCAACGGTTTAAGTGTTGACACGGCACCCATCACTGTAAGGCAAAGGTCCCAGGTTCAAATCTAGCAGCTCTGCATTTGAACCAAACATACAATTTTTTTTTTCTTCAAAAACACTGGCACCCTGAGGGTTCATATGACCTCTGCTGTTGCGAATCCTTGTAAATGAATAAAAACAGAAAAATACACTGAGAGGCAAAAGAAAAGCCACCCTAATTTTTTTCCTTATAATTTGTATTTTTTGTTTTTACTGGATATTTTTATGGAAAAATATAAGATAAATAAAAAATTAAACAGTAAAATAATTTAACTAAAAATGTTGCTATGTTTGAAACAATGAAGAAAATTCATTATACGTCCTTGTTTTAGTCGGCCGTTGGATAATCAATTGCTAATTTTAAACTTATATTGATCTAAAAAGAAAAACAATAAATTGCTGTTGGTCTGGGACACCGGAAAGGGTGTTACACAAAAAACAATGATTATACACCTGATGAAGGACGTGAGACATCCGAAATGTTGTCAATAAATGTTTTGAACGAAGCATTTGGACTTTTTTTCTGAGGCCGCTCACCTCAACATAAGTTTAAAATTAGCAAAATTAATTATAATTCGTGGTCCAATTGAAAAATGGCAAAAAGGAGGGAAAATTCGAAAGGTGGGGTTGAGATGGGAAGTTGGTGTCCGAGTGGATCGAAGTCACGATAGCTCGTGGTGACTTTACCTCCTTTGATGACACTCGTCCCAAAAGTGTTTAATAAGACTTTATTTAGGGTACATGCTGGCCACTACCAACATTGAATTGAAGCCCGTTCCAATTAGTCACCAACGATCCTAGCTGTGTGGGGCCTTGTATTGTCATGCAAAAAAACAAAACGGTCACCAATTAGTGGCGTATAAGGAACAACTTCTGATACATTTTTAATGTATCGCACAGTTTTTAGGGAGCCTTTGATGAAGATCAAATTTGGGCGACTTTCCATAGAAATGCCTGTCCAAACCATAACACCACTACTTCCATATCTCCTCTGGAGTGAAAATGTTGCGGGACCTGTTCTTCTCCAAACCTTCTCTTGGCCGTTTTACAATCAAGGCCTCAATCAAAACCTTAACTTATTTGGAAACTCATATTTTGAAAGGTGTTTTGTTAATTTAAAATTGAGAGGAAAATAGTGCAGTTTTGTCATTTAATGGTTTTATTATCGCAAAGGGAAAACCTCAGTTAAGTAAAAATTTATGTTGTACATGGTGATGATGCTTTAGGATATAAGTGGTTTGTTCAGTTCAGAAGCAAAAATTTTAATTCGGAAGACACAAAGTGCTCTAGTCAACTTTCAACTGTCACAAACTTTTGTCATAAATAACCCACACTCAGCAACACAAGACAAAATAGAGCAAACAAATAATATAATATATCTCAGACAAGCATTTAACACATCTGAGAGCACCTGGATAAATTTGTCAAAGCAATGGGTTCCTCACATGTTCACTGAATCTGCGATTCCCTCCTAACGATTTTAAAATTTAATAATTACTGGAAACGAAAAGTGAATTCTTGTTCAATGTTCAGAGAGGAAAATCCTTGGGAAAATGCAGTGACCCAGTAAGAACAACTCCAAAAGTTACTATCTTAAGAAGGTAATGGGCATTTGGTGGGATTGAACGGGGGTGCTTTATTTTAAGCTTCTTCTGCCCAACCTAATCATAAACTTTAGTGTATACTGCATACAATTGGATCAATTAAAGTCAACAATTGACCAAAAAACTATTGACATTCATCGGGACAAAAATAAAACTGAAAAACCCAATGTCTTTTATTTAAAATACCTATATTCATCCACTAGAATTTAAAACCTTTTTAATACTTAATATAATTTTTATTACATCAAAGCTTACCCCTTCAATTAAGATGGTCTGGCATAGTCCTACAAATTTCTTGTTTAGAATTTCCGCACCTTTTCTAAAAGCTGAAACCATTTCCAAGAGTCGTTCCTGTTTCACTTTGTCTGGGATATCGTCTTTGTACCGCCTGTGCGCTGTGGTTTTCTAACAATATGTACAAATTAGAGTTTGCAGTTTGTAGAACGAGGGTACTCACTTCTCGCATGCTGTACGCGAACAAGTAAGCAACGTGGTAGCCCACTTTTTCAATAAGATCTAGCGTGTCTTGAAACTGTTCATCAGTTTCGCCACAAAACCCGCAGATGAAATCCGATGACAGCGTCACTGAAGGGATGATACTCCTTATATGGTCGACCAATTCGAGATACGCCTCCTTAGTATACCCTCTCCTCATCATGTTCAAAACTTCAGAATTGCCGCTTTGAGCCGGCAAGTGGATATTACTGCAAACGTTCTTTCTTGACGATATTACATTTAAAACCTGAAATTTTTTTCTGCGATAAATTCTAAAATTTCAATTTATTAAGTCGGTTTACCTCATCGGGAAAGTCTTTAGGGTGTGGTGAAGTGAACCTGATTCTCATTTGAGAATCGACAGAAGCAACTCTATCAAGCAGCTCGGCAAATCTTACACCACCTTTTACAGGCTTGTAAACTGTCTTAAATCCCTTCGCTAATTGTGTTATTTTGTCATTTGATGCATCCTCTGATGTGTCTCTGTAACTATTGACATTCTGCCCTGTTTAAAATAAAAACAATTTTATAATAAGAACTTCTCTTTTGTAACAAAGTACCTAAGAGAGTGACTTCCTTCACTCCTTGTTCTGAGAGATGTTTAACCTCTTTTAAAATAGAGCTGATGGGTCTCGACCTTTCTCGTCCTCTTGTAAAAGGAACGATGCAATAAGTGCACATATTATTGCATCCTCTCATTATAGAGCTAAAAAATAATATAATTTGTTTTTTAAAATCTAATCCATTATAAGTAAAAAGAATACTCACACAAATGCTGAAACTGAATTTTCATTCAGCCTTACAGGCAAAACGTCAGCGTATGTCTCGTCATGGGATAACATTACGTTTATGGCTTCTTCATTTGAATCTGTATGCGCGAGAAGTCGTGGAAGATCTTTGTAACTGTCCGGACCGGCGACCAAATCGATAAGAGTTTCATCTAGCAGCTTATGTTTCAATCTCTCTGCCATGCAGCCTGTAACGATCTATTGAATATTTTTTTATAAGCTTGTAGACAAACGGTGCTACCTAATATTCCAACTTTCACAGGCGGTTTGGACCTATTCGTCGACCGCACTCTCTTCAAGCCTTTGAAGTGCTGGAGCCTGTTCCAAATTTTTTTCTCTGCGTTTTCCCTAATTGCGCACGTCATGACAAGGATGATGTCAGCTTCCTTAATATCCCCGGTTTTTGAGAAACCGGCAGATTGGAGAATAGACCAAGCTATTTCTGTGTCATTCACATTCATCTGGCAACCATACACTTCAAAGTAGACTAAAAGTGTAAAAACAAAATTATGCATTATGCATTATACATACAATGTGTTTTGTAATTCAAAATACAAATTATGAGCATTTCATTAAAAGAATCATTACAGGAGATAGTGTTTAATGACACAGAACTACATTTGTGCCATAAGAAGGTACGACTTGTGCAGTGTTAAAGGAAAATTGTACTACATATTGAATGAAATAAAAACACAATAAGTTTTTTTTCAATTAAAACCCAGGGTGTACCAGGAGCAGTTTCCCTCTGGATGGCAATTAACCATCGAGTAAGATAGTGATTATGATCTCTTCATGCTGCAATTTGCAAATTCAACATCTAAACTTCTAAACAGGTCCTTTAAAGTGTTCATCATAATAGTTTAGAAAGGAGAGGTGCAAAGGCATCCAAATCTAATGTAGATGTCATAGTGACAGCTCTCAAGCTGCAACGTGTATTATTTTCACATCTTTGGTAAAATTAATGGACTTTCATCCTGAAAGGAACGAAATGCTAACCTATGGTCTACACCTCAGGGGAGTTCACCCACCACATTATGTGGCTGGGTCACTAGTCAGATCATCGCTTCCCAACCAACAGGTTAGGCACCAGGAGCTTTTCACAGCTAAGTCATTTCAGACCCTGATGCAAAATACAATCTAGCCTAAAATTAACATCTATAATACAATCACACAAATAAATACAATCACACTATTTTGGTCAGTCGGTAGAATAATCGACATTCCTCCATCAAACTATGCACAACAGTAATCAGCTAATGTACATTTGGGTCAATGCAGAATATTTATTAAAGTATTCCATCAATGCTAAATACACACACAGCTGGTGGTTCTATTCTAAATTGCTACGTTTAAGAAGATCTTGAGGCACTTACTTTTCCCTGTTTCATGTGGCTCTTCTGTGGTGCATGCCAAATGTAAGCACGGAGAAGGTAAAATCAGACCATCTGACCTTCCGCTTTATGTGAAAGATGATAAAGTCGTCAAATGTGCAAACGATTATTCAAATGCATTGATTGAAGAGATGATATGTTGCTTGCATCAGGAACTTGAAATCTTAATCTCCGAGGGGAAAATGACCAAAGCCCAAATTAGTGATTTTGTCAATCTAGTTCTGTTATAACTCAGTATTACTATCAAAATTCTCCTAAAAGATAAAAATTCTGTCCTTAGATATGGAGCGGTTGTGATCGGAAGTGCTTCTGGATACATGTTAGCATTGAGAAATGCATTTCTAAAAGGCTCCTTTATACACTGCAGGTAGCTCTGCATAAGTTTGCTGGTAAAGCTGTTGTCCGTGTAAAAAATTATGCAACATGCATTATCTTCATATCTTTGGTAATGATTATTGGACTTTCACCTCGAAGGGTTGTCACTTCATGAGGTGCTGAACATATGGTCTATACCTCAGGGGAGTTCACCTACCCCATATGCACTAGGTCACTAGTCAGGGGATCGTCACTTCCCAACTCCAGAGGCTTTCGATAGCTAGGGCATTACAGACCCCAATGCAAAATACAATCTAGCCTACAACTAACATCTATAATACAATCACACAAATAATACATTCACACCTACTCTGGTTAGTCAGTGGAATATATATCATTTTATTCCTCCATCAAACTGCACACAATAGTAATCAGCTAATATACATTACGGTCGATGCAGAATATTTATTAAAGTACTCCATCAACCCTAAATACACACTCTGTTATTAAGGCTGATGATGGTATATTTCACCATCAGACCTTCACCACTCACACTAATAAATACACACACTCACACAAACACAGAAGCCCAAAACACATAGAACAGAACCTTGTACAATAAAAAAAACATCATGTCCTCTACAAAGAGTAAGAGGAGACCCAGAAACTGCTATTGTGCCCGAGTACCATTCCTAAAACCGGCAGCATGTCAAACTTCTATTATGTGGGACACATCGAGCAACATTTCTCTACGTAACGAGCACCTGCGCGAGCTTTGGTCCAGGAGCAGGTGCCAATGTGTATGGGGTATTAATCGGGTATGGGCAATTACTCATGTCCGGCTCAGGTTCTCAGAGGGCCATTTACAGGTCTCGCTCTTGACATGCAAAAGGTCTCGAATGACCCCTCCACTGGCGCTTCCATCTTACTTTTATCATGTTTCTTACTGCTCGCTTAGTGTTAGAGGGTCTGATTACTGAGGGTAGGACGTCCAGCTTTTTCTGCCTCGTCCAGGAACCCAGACAACAATAACGACTGACAATTCTGAATGTACGTTCAACAATAAAATGATAAGGTGATCTTAGAGAGAACGACTTATATGGAACCAAATCAAAGTATATAATTTTGAAAAGTTAACTTTGAAATACTGATTGGAACAAACAACCAAAAGGAAAGAACTCTCAAAAATACAGAGACTTGCATGCATCTGCATAACGGGAGCAATAAGAACATGCCCTACAATTAGCATGGAAAAGATATTGGGACTAATCCCCCTACACCACATGATAGAAAGGACAGCACAGAAAACTATAATTAACATCACTAGAGAGAAACCTCCAACAGGAATAAAACTGAAATGGAGAGACAGAAACAAACTGTGGAAAAACCATCCTTCACTCATGGCTCCAAGAGACGACATGAACAAGTGGTTTGAATTTAACCATAAATTCCGAATACATCTGGGCACCAAAAAGGAATGGGAAAGAGAGGGAAATAACTCCCTCAAAAATGGCACCATCCTTTGGTACACAGATGGATCTAAAACACAGGAAGGTACGGGGGCAGGAGTGTTCGGACCCGGAACCAAATACTCAGAACCCATGGGAAAGCACACCAGTATCTTCCAAGCAGAAATTCATGCAATTGAAAGATGTATCCAATTCAATCTAAATAAAGGATACAAAAACAGAATATAGCTATCATGTCAGATAGCCAAGCAGCCATCAAAGCACTAAGCTCAAATACCATTAGTTCAAGGATGGTGCTGAACTGCAAAACCAAATTAAATACATTAGGCTCGCAGAATAAAGTCAGCCTCTGCTGGGTCCCAGGACACATGGGAGTAGAAGGTAATGAGGAAGCGGACACCCTGGCAAGAAAAGGGGCTGCCACACCGCTAATAGGACCTGAACCCTTCTGTGGAATAGGAACACACACTATCAACGAATACCTCAGACAGAAGGATAAAAAGAGAATGAGCGAACTTTGGAACTCACTTATTGGACACAGACAATCCAAGAATTTTCTAACCAACTTTGGCAAGAAAGAAATCACAGAATGTGTCAAAGGAAGCAGGAACAGACTGCGAATCCTAACAGGATTCCTGACAGGACACTGTAGATTAAATGGACATCTAAAGAAAATTGGAATAATCCAAGATGGCACATGTAGATTCTGCAAAGAAGCAGAAGAGACACCAACACACTTACTAACAAACTGCGGAGCTACACTAGCCCGCAGGAGGAAGTGTTTTGGGATGTACAATGTGACCATAGAAGAACTACAACCACTGAAACCGGGCCTATTAATCAAGTTTCTTGATGAAATAGGACTCACCGATGTGCTTTAGGCAGAGCACAGGGGATACAATAGCTCTTAAAGGGCGCAGTATACCATACCCTGAAATATTACATCTATCTATCTATCTAGAGAGAACGACTTATATGGAACCAAATCAAAGTATATAATTTTGAAAAGTTAACTTTGAAATACTGATTGGATTTTTAATGTGTAAAGATCTTAAGAAGATGACATTTTTTTAGTATTTAATGAAAAGATGTACCTTTCCTTCCCCATCCGCGATATGACTGTGTGTCTAGGTAAGGTAGAGTTTCCTGGACGATATCCCGGACCTGTACATCTTTCGTCGCAGTGCCGGTGATGAAGTCTTTAAGAGTGGGTCCGTCCGGCAAAGCTCTTTGCCTCAAAGATGAACAACTTGCTATCCTTCTAAAAGGTGCCGATCGAAAACAAAAGGGGCACCTGTCACAAGAGAAAAGCCCTCTTCTCAACACTTGCATATTTCCAATCAGAATAAAAAATCAATTTGACAACGGCCCTTATCAGTATAAAATATATAACAGCAACCTTCTTTATACAGACGGTCGGACTTTCAATCCGTGGTTCCATATTCTATCAAAAGCAAGGTTGATACTTACAAAGAAAAAAGCTTTAAAAACGTATATTATACCAATTTTTTTTATTAATTATTATTTAACCTTAACTCAAGTATTATTTTATTTATATACAATGTTCATGTTTTACCGCCAATATAAAAATCTCAACCTGTAGCTTTTATTTATAGAACAATAGTTTCCATTTGAGATGTTCTCATAATAGTTTATTCTATTTACACATATATTGAGAATAGCTTAATATTTAAAATAACTAATATTTACTTCCACTTGGCTTAGAATGTTTTGACAGAAAATTTGTGTCAAAATGCCAAGCTGTAATGGAATTCTTTCAATTCCCCGATCGCTGAACTTTTGGTACAAATATTTCATACTCATTTTGATAATTCTTATTTTCCCCTAGGATGGAAGACTGCTAACGTCCTATTTTCAAGCAAGGAAGTGGAGGTGCTTTTGGAGACATCTTAACACTGAGAAAACCCATTTATAAAAGACTCCTTTGTACATTGCGGGTGGCTCTGCATAAGTTTGCTGTAAAGCTGTTATCCAAGCAAAAAGTTATTTTGTTACCATTGAATTGTGATAAAGAAACTTGCCAAGAGTCAGGATTGAAATAAATGTTCTGTTAGTATGAAGGAATGAAAACTTGTGCCTCAATTTATCGACTTTTTTTTTTTTTTTTTTGCTGAACCAGCATTCGGTCCATCGTCACTCATCGGTTTGTTGAACTACTCAAACACATTTTGGCATTGCGCCATTTTCAATGAAGAACTATACTATTTACTACTAAAGTTCCTCACTGGAGATGGTGCAATGCCAAAATGCTTTTGAGTAGTTCAACAAATCCTGGAGTGAAGATGGACCCAATGCCAGTTCAGCATGAGTTCAATGACTTGCAGACCAAATCAACACTATATTTTCATATTGTTGCACAACAATTATAATTCATAATAATGGACTGTTTGATTTTTTTTGGTTTTGAATGGCTTTATGTACTATGAATATTAGCCAATGCCAGGCAGTATGTTATAGACAGTATTCATGTTTGGGGGGAAGGGTATCGAGGAAAAAAAAGGCCAGTGGCGACGGTGGGAATTGAACCCACGTTTGCGGGGTCTACAAAAATGTTAAATAATGAATGAATGATTAATGAATAATAATGAATGAATAAAAATAATATGAATGTTAAATAAAATATCTTAATATATTTTTTGTTATATTTCACACTACAGAGGCTGTGTAAATATATGACAAATATCTGTGAGTTTTTGGCTGGCAAATTTAACAAACAACAATTTAATTGTTTTAAAGAATTAAAAAGGGGTTTCTTCCAACCTTGAAACAGTCTAAATTTGTATAATATTGTCTAATAAAATATTTTAGCATATTTTTTATGAACCGTTAAACCTTGCATTTTTTAATCACTTTATTCATAATGTGTTGTATATTTATGTATTGTATGTATTGTCTATTTACAAACAGATTTTTTCTAAAGAAAGTTCAATAAAACTTAATTGTTTCAAAAAAATGGAACTAGGGTTCTTCCATCTTCATAACAGTTTAATTTGATGCCAAATAAAATATTTTAGCATATTTGTTATAAACAATTAAACTTGAATTTATTCCAATTAATTATTCTTTTCATCTATGGTTTTTGTGGTTTTCTATGGGGTACGGGCCTACTCAGGCTTTTAACCCCTCGGGTCCTGGTCGCCCGCCCTGTGTAATATATGGTTTTTGTTTGAGAATAAATAATTGGAATAAATTCAAGGTTTAATTGTTCATAAGAAAGTAGGCTAAAATATTATTAAAAATAATTAATAGGAATAATTAATACGGTCAATTATGGCTACTAAGCAAATATGGATTAATGTGAATTTATGTTATCATTGTGTACATAAATATCCGTGAATTGTGGATTTACAAATATATTTTTTCTAGAGGAGGTTCAGTAGAACTTTATTATTCTCTCTGCTCTAAAATATTTGCATATTATTGCTGAAAATACTATATTTTTCATAATAATGATTTACGTTTGGTGTCAAATAAAATGAAGTTATGTTATCACTTTATACACCCTTTATACATCCATGGATTGTACATTTACAAATATATTTTTTCTAAAGAAGGTTCAGTAGAACTTTATCATTTTCTCTGCTCTAAAATATTTTCATATTGCTGCTGCATATTTTTGGTAATAATGATTTAAGTATGATGCAAATAAAATGAATTTATGTTATCACTTTATATATAAATATCTATGGCTTGTGTATCTACAAATATATTTTTTCTAAAGGAGGTTCACTAGAACTTTACTATTTTCTCTGCTTTAAAATATTTTCATATTATTGCTGCACATTTTTGGTAATAATGATTTAAATTTGATGTCAAATAAAATGAATTCATGGCATCACATAATACATAAATATCTATGGCTTGTGTATCTACAAATATATTTTTTCTAAAGGAGGTTCAGTAGAACTTTACCATTTTCTCTGCTCTAAAATATTTTCATATTGTTGGTGCATTTTTTTGGTAATAATGATTTAAGTTTGATGTCAAATAAAATATCTTAATATATTTTTGCTCTATTTTGTACTAAATAGGCTTTGAATTTCTGTGTCAAGGTATGACAAGTATCTGTGAGTTTTTGACTGGCAAATTTAATAGTTTTGAAAAATTAAATAGTGGTTCATCTTAACTATTCTGTTTTAATTATAGAAATGTGTTATGTTTAGACCGCATCTCACAATCAAATTATCTTTAATTATAGATTTAAAAAAAACAGAAATAAACCAGTTGAATAATAGATTGTATCCACGCTTAAAGAGTGAGTTGTTTAAAAAAAAATTCATTTCAGAACAATATAGTTTTTATCGATTTTTTTTCTTTATGAGAGAGACGGTCCGTCGTGTTTCGCCTTGCGCCGGGGGTGAGCTTTGATTGCGGGAATCTGGGTCAACCCGTCTCGACTCTCAGCTGTGTCCGAGGTTGCCTTCTCAATCCCGAGACCCGAGGAAGGTTACTGTTATCCGCGACCCAGCCGATCTGTCATCCGTCATCCGTACTCCTCAATCAGGGAGTCTCACTTTTGAATGCGTTAAAGGGCCGAGGGTCGGAGCGAAGAGCCGAGATGGCGACTGACGAGGCCGTCCAATCCACCAACGACGACGCGAGCGAGTGCAAGCGATCCGCCGTCCGCCTCGGATACTGGAACGACAAATTCATACCAGTACTCGTCCGAGGTACTGAGAGGAAACCGCCGGAGATCAACAGGGGATACTACGCCAGGACGGAAGGCGTCTCTCTCTTCATAAGGAAATTCCTCAAAGTAAGCTTTTCTCATGTCAATTGTACATTTTTTGTTTTAAATATTCTATTCTCTAGGCCTCTTTAAGAGAATTTGTCATGTTGCAACATGACAAATCATTCGATTTATACTGGGCTTTATGCAAGAATTTATTTCCACCTCCATTGTTTATTGCCATGTTCAACATTAAAAGTATGAACTGTAAGGAAAAAAAAACTTGGCATCCAACTAAATTAAAATTAATTTTTTAGAAAAATATTTATTTTATTTAGTACAAAATTACAGATTTAAGTGAGAGTGGGAAGGCCACTTTAACTACAACCAGAAATTCTTTAGATTGTTTAAATTGTGGTAAATAGTTACAGTGAGGTTTTTAAAAAGTGGGAAAAGGTAAAAAAATTAGCTAACAGAATTCGCAAAATAGATTTTGAGGGCCCAAGTAAGTTAATAAATAAATAAAAAGATTATGTACATTTACAGACCAGAAATTATAGGAATATCACAGCAATTAATGGAGTATCACAAATGTCATAAAAATCACAGCTCAGTCTCAAAGCAGAATGCTCTTTACACATGGTGCTTCTTGCATTTATTAAGATTGAAGGCTCCTATTACTCTGCATAGGGCATTCCTCCTAGTAGCACATCTGTTGAAGAAGCGTAGCGTTCTTGACTTCACCTCCATGGCAATGGTCTTTATTTTGGGCAGGTGACAAACCTCAAAAACTTATTTTGGGTCACTTGCTTTGAGGTTTGTCTAGCAAGTGATGTTCCAAACAGGGCACATGTACAGAAGCATAACAATACTGCTGTAGAGGAGCTTTTTATTAAAAGTGTGATAGAGGAGATAGCAGTTTTTCCACAGCATACTCTATCTGCCACATGTCTGGTGAATGTCAGGCTGCTATCCATACTTAAGTTCCGACATTCAGGCCAGTCTTAAGTCACTACATAAAGAGCTATCAACATCTCGGCTGGTGGAGGAAACTTGAACTTATTAATAGGATCACTACCAGGTATGAGAATAGGGTAACTTTCGTTTGGATACCAGCACATAAAGGACACTATGGCAATGAAGAGGTGGACAGCCTGGCCAAAGAAGGCTCAAATACCGCGTTTGTCGGGCCACAACCAGTATTACCCCACTCTATAAGCACAGCGAAAGAGAGTATTAATTGCTGGGGCATGAAACAATTCCTGAAAGAATGGAATCTGTCCCCCGGACATAGGCAGTCTCTGAAGGAAATCAAACCAAAGGAAGCAAAATGGTTATTCTCTAACTCAAGGAGGGGAATTAGGAGGCTGATAGGTATCCTGACGGTCCATTGCCCTTTGAGAAGATACCTCTTCATAATGAGTATTTTACCAGACCCTTTCTGCCGCTTCTGTGAAATAAAAGAAGAAACGGCAAGGCACTACCTCGCAGAGTGTGGTAGGTATGCCAGGCATAGATTTGAAACTTTTGAAGGAGAGGACATTGCCAAATCACTCCCCAAGATAAAATGGTCCAAAATCTTGGGGTTTGTGAACAAGTCCAAGAGGTTTATGCAGGACACTTGAACCGACCAAGTCCCGGACCCTTTAGGGATGGGTATCCGTACTTAAGCCCAGGTATTTTACACGGCCTGACCAGGGAATGCTATTTCTTGCTGCCACGACATAATATCCTTCAGAGGAACTGAACCTCAATGATTGAGGATCAAGGAAACAATGAGCAATAGATTACATTAGAGACTCCTGTATATATATCCTGAAAAGGTAAGCCTCGGGTCTCGGCACATCCTTTTCTCTCAATCCATTTACCCGGGACTGTAGGAAACTCCTATAGTCCCTTGCCAGCCCTTGGATGCAAGAGGGGTTTCCTGGCAAAAAATAATGGTGTAGCCTTGATAGCATGACGCACAGCTCTAAAGCACAAGATGTATTCGTGCTTCCTGGCATGCAAGATCTGGAGTGTGGAGGGAGACCGTTGATACATTTCAGCCCATTTTTTGGTATCTCTTTCTACGTGGCACATGGTTAGATGCATGGATGTTAAACCACCTCCGCAGAAGAGGCAAGCAGAAGTCATGTCTGATGGTTAGTCTGCGTGTTTGGTGGCTTCTACACCAAACCTCATGGGATTAACACAACCCCTGTGAGCGGAGGTGAGTTGCTCCTACCTTTAGAATCCAAACATGTGATAAGGCCATTTGCCAGGTGCGCACGTTAAAGAACATCATTGTTCTAATTACATTGCAAGCCTCAGTGGGAAACACATGCCACGACATGCTCGATTACTGCAGGTCTTCTTTTGGTTTAGAAAATGGCTTCTGTTTTGCTGGAGTTGATTTTAAGTTTCCATCTTTGGCAGAAGGGAGCAAGCTGAGCCTTCTTGTTACTAAGCTTGGCTTACATGAAGATGTTAGTAGGGCAAGGTTGAAAAAGTAGTGTCTTGGGCATAGGTAAGTACAGAATAGGGTCCAGGATTGATCCTTGTGGGACTCCAGCCACGATTTTGTAAGGAGCTGAGAGGGTCTTGTTGTGCGGTACTATAAACATTCTGTAATTTAGGTACGAGTATATGAGTCTTGTTTGTTAACAAGGGAAGTTCTATTTCATGAGCTTGTATATAACTCCCTCATGCCAGACTATCAAAAGCCTTTTAGAGGTCTAACAGGGCCGTCCCAGTGTGCATCGTTTTGTTGAAGCCATCGTTAGTTATAGTATCCACTATTGGAGTAAACTGACCTCCAGTACTAAACTTCGAATGGAAACCAAAATTTATACCAGACTTTCCTATGGTGATCTTAATTAAAATTACTACATTTTTACTATTTCAATATGTACTACACTAAGATTTTTTATATAACATATGTATATAATATACTATATTAAGGTATTGTATACTACTATGTACTATTTGAAAATAAGTTTTACTTTGTAACTGTCATATTGTACTATTTTAGTTGTCTATTGTCCAATCATTGAACTTTCCATGGAGAATCTAGCTCTAGAGAAAGCAACTAGCTTGGTCTCATTTGTTGTCATATTGTACACAAAAAGTATTAACAGTAACGCAAATAGTTGATTCGTTTAAATTATATTTTATTTCATTTTCTTAAGTTGGCATACAATTAAATTGAAATAACTATTGAGAGACTAACAATCCGAGGATAGGCATATCAAGATGATCGGCAATGACCCAATTTTAGATGGATTGTTATGTTTGTCAGTCATCAGATCGTTAGAGTTCACAAAAATAACTGAAACCTTAAAGAGAAGAATTTACCTTGACCTCATTTTCCTGGATAAACTTACTAGCTTTTATCCATTTTCATGCGGGAATCTATTCTAATGTGCCTTTATAATGTGATGCAGAGGGCTAGTGTGGCTTTCTAATATGTCTTGTTTCTCAACTTCTTCAGTTCACTTGGGTCTATACATGTTAAAAAATTGCCCATACGGTCCCCTTACAGATGGAATTTCCAAAAATCCTTTCTTAGTGACTATCTATGTCGAAATTTCTTTAGATCCAGCGGTTTGGTCTGTGCGTTGTCTGTCAGTGAGTCATGAAACTGTTTTATATATACGGTTGAATAATCATATCAAGTCTCCTTATTTACTTTTCAAATTAAACTTTATTAAATTCACTAGTTTTGTGGTCTGCTTGACCAATTATTAAACTTTATGTTACCCAGCTCTCTCCCAAAAACATGAAATATTCTTCATTCCCGCCCGTAAGACTAATTATATAAAAGAAAGTCTCATCAATAGGTTAATGCACAAGGTAATGCCTGTCCTCATCTCCCATGCCAAGATAATATTAGCATTTTTTAAAATTACTTTCTTTAATCAAGATTTTTTAGATCATTTTGTGTGCTATTTTCATATGAATTTTATTTATGTCTCATTATCATTCTGTAAGCACATAACTCTGTTTAATATTTACAATTCCTTATTAATTTTTTTTTTTTTTTTTTTTTTTTTTTTTTTTTTTTTTTTTTTTTTTTTTACGAGGGTTCGCAACAGCAGAGGTCATATAAACCCTCAGGGTGCCGGTGTTTTTGAAAAAAAGCCCATTTGTAAGTATGTCGGGTTCGAATGCAGGGCCGCTGGATTCGAACCCGGGACCTTTACCTTACAGTGATGAGCGCCGTGTCAAAGACTAAACCTTGCGGCCACCGACGCCCCCAGTTAATTCTACATTACTCTGTTATGCTAGTTACATAGGATATTAGTATTAGTTTTACTTTTTATCTAAAGTCTTGGTTGAGATGAAAAAGTTAGTGTCACGAGCGGGATTCGAACCCACGACCTTCAGCTAAATATGCCGCTACTCTAACCACTTAAACTATAGTGACTTCGAACCTCTCCAACACTAACTTCTCATCTCAGCTTCAATCTTTCAAATTTTCCCTCTTTTTGCCATATTTTCGTTGGTTCGAATCCCACTCGTGACACTTTTTTCATCAGACATAGATAAAAAGTAATATTAGTAATTGTATAGTAATTAGTTATCTTTATTAAGTTAACTTTTGTTTGTATTCTGCCAATTATGTCAACTGCATATATTTATAACTATGTTTGATTTAATAATTCATACTAGCAATTTAGTTGCTTCTTTAGTTAACTATTTATATTTTATAATGAATCTCTATATTATCTATTCTAAGTATATTTGCAACTATTAAATTTTAATAATCTTTGATTGTATAATAAATAAATAAAAACAAGACCTAACACCGTTGGTAGGGAAGCGACGATCTCCTGGGCAATATCTCTGCGATAATAAATGAGAACTCCCTCCAATCATGAAATAGTCGCATTGTTTATTGTCATGTTCAACATGAACTGTCTTCCTCAGTTCTGACTTTGAACCATTATAATATTTAAGATTGTGAATTCCGTTGATGACTGCCATATTCTGCAAGATGACTTGTGTCAATTTTTGGATTGGTGCTCAACGAATGGCCTTGCTATTAGTAGTGGTGAGTGTAATGAAATTAGGTTTAGTCACTAAAAATCAAATATAATAAAATTGTAATAACACATCTAGTCAGAATACTTCTTATGTTATACTATAAATGATCTTGGTGTCGTTTTTGATATTAGTTGATTTGTTTCTGGTCATATTTGCTCGGTGTTTTCAATGATGGTTTTATCTGTAGAACGACTGGTGACTTAAAAGTGTTGCAGTGGTTAAAAGTCTTTATTTTGCACTAGTATATAGTAATAGGATTATGACAGTCCTGACTAGTATCCTTATTGTGCTTTGATTTTGATAATTTTAATTTTTTTGCTGATGATGTGGCTGTATTGAGCACAGGGGAAACCAGCGCAGAGGTACAACAGACCCTGCAACAAGTCACTGACCAAGTCTCTGAATGGGCGGACAAGTGGAAAGTCAAGCTAAACCCAGATAAATCAAAATTAGTCCAGTTCACTTATCTGAAAAAAGCCAATGAACATCAACTGGTACTAAATAATAAGAATATCGGTGAATCGACACACACAAAATATCTGGGTGTTACTCTTGACCGGAGGCTGACTTGGCATCAACACATAAACGATGTGCTAAAGAGATCACGATGCAGACTAATTGACCTCAAACCACTACTTAAGAGGCCAACTATCAGTCTGAGCAACAAAAGACTATTATCATTCGACATCCCTCATTCGACCCATATGGCATGTTTGGGCCTCAGCGTCGAACAGCCAAATTAAGAGAATCCAGACATTTCAAAACAGGGCCTTACGGATTTTAACTGGAGCCCCCTGGTATGTGCCAAATACCACACTGCACCGAGACCTGGACATTCCTCTAGTGGACCATGCACTGAGAGACAGCTACCGGAAGATGTTCAGCAAGTCCCACCCAAACACAGAAATCCAAGGAATACCGGACCACCTCCCTCCTGCAGGTCCACATCGCAAACTCAAGCGCAAACGACACTCCGATATGATACTATAATTAACTGTGATAAACTGTGATTAAATTAGATTAAATCATGTATAAATAATTAATGGGGGGAGCTGCTGAGCTTAAAGATCCAAGAACTGTTTGATGCCGTTAAACATTATGCCACAACTATAAGGTACTATGTACAAAAGTTTAAATAAAGTTATATTTAAAAAAAAAAAATAATAATAATAATGAAATTGTAGTAGATGATGGGGTTTGGTCTGCGGGTTGGTGAACTCATGTTGAATAATGAAATTGTTAATTAAGCACTTGGTTCACATCAGTACTTTAGTAATTGCTTAGATTGTCAGCTTAATCATTACACATTACTGTCTTAAGAATCTAGGATGAAATTACTGGCAGTTGTTTTTGTTTGGAAATTTTTTAATAACCATACTGACTGTCCAGCATTGACAGATTTGGTAGGTACCCCATACTTGACAAGAAAATTAGAACTAAAGTTAAAAAAAAAACATGCTTTCCATAGTGAATTCATTTTCTGAATCTATAATAGACATACTTTTGTATGTTATATATTATGTTTTAGTTTGTATTTGTAAATAACTGTAAAAATGAATTCAGGTTTAATTAACATATTATTTTTTTATATTTGAAAATGTGTTTTACTTGTTTCTCTTTGGTAGTTGTTCCATTTTAGTTATAAATTGTTATATGAAAATGATTCTCAACGGGGATTAAGTTCCAATACATCCATTTTCACAGCTTAAACTGTTTATCGTATCAGCATAGTTTAAACTGTAAGAAATTATCTTGTTATGGTCAATATCAGCGTTAGTATCATAATTGTACTTAAAAAATCAGGGATAAAACGAATTTGAAAGGAATAAAAACACAATTCCTTTATCAACCTTTTGAAGAATATCATCAACATAACACTCAACCCTTCAAGACTTTGAAACACATTTGAAAATTATAGCTTCAATCATAATGAATTTATGACTTTAGATTAGTAGAGTGATTGAGATGAACCCACCGGTAAATCCGATATTATATTTAATTCTAGTTGATTATCGTTTATTCTGTTGTGCATTGTATTCTATAATTATAAATAATTACTTGATCAGTTAAACTGTGTGATAGGAATTTCAATATTATCTCGTTATAAAATTATATACTTTTTCTTCGTTTGCCAAAATGTCTTGGGACAGAATATTTGTATAAAATGTAATTTTTTTGAAAATTAATTGTAATTTATCTAAAAGTTTATGTGCTATTATTGTGATTTAATATGGTTGAGGGGACCTGTAATTTGATTTTATTTCTTATTATTATTTCTTCTAATTATTATTTCTGTCTGCCAGTGCAGATTAAACCAATGAGGATAGGCAGAAAAAAAAAATCAGTAATAACCAAAGTACAAAATCAATAATATTAAAATAATTCCATTATATTTAGTGATCTGATTGACCAAATTAATTCTTTCAAATCCTGCTCATGACGTGAACGAACTTTTTCATGTGTGATGATTAGTGACAGTTAGTTGATGATTATTCAGAAATCGTGAGATGCGATCTCGTTTGATGTAGGTTTCAGAAAAACATTTTCTTTATCGGGCCAACGTTTCGATCTTTATTGAGATCATCTTCAGGGCCTGGGATTTACAAACATTGTTTACATTTAACAAATACATGTAGGATGTGGAAAAAAGTGAATTTATACAATGCAAAAAAAATATTTTTTTATATTTAATCAAAGTATTTCTACTCACTCAAAGTGTTTGTTTTCTGCATAATTGTGCCATTCTTGCGTGTCGTGTTCAGAGTGTGATTACGCAGAAAACAAACACTTTGAGTGAGTAGAAATACTTTGATTGAATATTTAAAAAAAAAATATATTTTTTGCATTGTATAAATTCACTTTTTTCCACATCCTACATGTATTTGAAGATGATCTCAATAAAGATCGAAATGTTGGCATGATAAAGAAAATGTTTCTCTGAAAAACCTACATCACACCAGACCGCATCTCACGATTTCTGAATAATCTAACTTTTTCATTTCATCCAAAACCTTACATACAAAGAAGAATTAATTAAAGTAATTGTTTGGTTCTTGAATTGATAGTTTAGAAAGGTTTCGTACATCTTTTTAAACTTAGTTGTTGTTGTTGTTGCAGTTGGCTGGGCCTAAATGTCAGATAATAAGTTTTGGAGCTGGATACGACACATTGTACTGGAGGCTGAAGGAGCAGGATTTCAATTTTGATAATTTTACAGAAATTGACTTTCCATCTCTAACTGCGAGGAAATGTTATGCTATAAAACGCAGCAAACTGCTTCTCGACGGTCTCGGTGCTTCAGGTACGTTTAAAACGGAAAAATAAACGCCAATTTCCAGTGCTTGTTTTTAGTTTGGAATTTTTCAATTAAGATGGAGAGGTGAGGTTGAGTTCGACAGAATTGCACGGAGGCAATTATCACCTGGTGGGCGCCGACCTTCGCAACCTCACCGAAGTGGCTGCAAAACTGAAAGAGTCTGAGATCAACTATCAATTGCCCACACTTTTCCTCGCTGAGTGTGTTCTAGTCTACATTGAGTCAACTTCAGTTTCAAATCTTCTCTCCTGGATTGTCACGCTGTTCCCTTCGGCGCTGTTTGTCAATTATGAACAAGTGGGTTAAATGAAGGTACAGGACGGGGTTAAATATTGATTGGTCGATTGTTCGCAGGTCAATATGTGTGATAGGTTTGGAGAGATCATGTTAGAAAATCTGAGGGCAAGAGGGTGCCCATTGTCTGGAGTTGATGCCTGCAGGTCGTTAGAAACACAGACTAGAAGGTAAACTATCTTTTGCATTTTTTTTTTCATTTTTCAACAACATAAAACAAACATGTGAAGAAAAAGTGAGTAAAAGCTCTGAGAAGTGTGTGAGATTTGAGAGAGAAAGAGCTTTTGAAGAGAGTAGTGTGTACATGAGAGCTCAGTAATTAATGAGATCTTTGGAAGAGAGGAAGGCTTTTGGAGAGAGTCAACGTTTTTGAATAGTGTGAAAGCTCAAAAAGAGAGTGGGAGCTTTTGGAGAGAGTGAGACCTTTGGAAGAGATCACAGCTNATGTTTGTAAATCCCAGGCACTGAAGATGATCTCAATAAAGATCGAAACGTTGGCACGATAAAGAAAATGTTTTTCTGAAACCTACATCACACCAGACTGCATCTCACGATTTCCGAATAATCATAGACTAAAGGTCACTAATCACCACACACTTTGAGGAGTGCGAGAGCTTTTGGAGAGAGTGGAAGGAAAGAGAGTGAAGGCTTTTGAAAAGAGTGAAAGCTTTGGAAGAAAGTAGATCTTTTGGAGAGACAAAGCTATTGAAGAGAGCACAGCGAAGTGATAGCTCTTGGAGAGAGTGGTGCAAAAGTGAGAGCTTTTGAAGAGATTAGTGCTTTTTGAAGGTGTGAGGGTTTTTGAAGTGAGTGTGTTGGAAAGAGAGAGGGAGGGAAGTGAAAAATATTTTGAAGAGAAAGAACTATGAAAATTTATTGCCTTTATTTTTATCTATCTATAAATAATTATTATTAGCCATTTTAGAAGTTAGTAATAGTTATACATTATTATTTATTGACATAATCGTATAATAATATTTTCATCAAAATTATTTTGAAGATTTCTTTCAACCAATTGGGACGGCTCAAAATCATGGACTATGGTGGATGTGTACGCTGCCATCGACCCTGCTGAGAGGCATAGGATCGAGAAAATCGAAATGCTCGATGAGCAGGAGCTGCTCACTCAACTTTTTCAACATTATTGTATCTGTGTCGCTTGGAAAGGTCCTCTTTTCAGGAATATCGGCCTATCGGATTATGATGATTGATTCAACATCGCCCTCTCGAAAATGAGTGATATATTGTTCTAAGTCTCTTAATATTTTCCTAACTTTTGTTTACGATTTAGAATGGTTTGTTAAATGTATGAGAGGGGGTGTTTTCTTGATTAAAGGAGTAACTCTTTTTTATATTAAATTTAACAATAACTTATATATTTTAGTCAAGACAAAGAGACTCTTTTTAGACTTAGTAGCTTTTTCATTTTTTCATCATATTCTTTTCCGGAGAAAAAAACTAAAAAAAAAGCAACAGTGAATCTGCAATCTGTGCTTAATTTAATCTTCTGTCGGTTTTTCTTCAATTCTGCTTAGCTCTCACATTTTCTCAACTCTACCCTTTTTTTAAATATAACAAAAGAGTTATGGTGCATCACTAATTGTGGCAACTGTGGGCACAATATTTTTCCAAATAAACAGTGGCAAATATGCCGACGTTTATTTTTGCTGAAGTGTGTGTATGGACAACAAGAGAAGTATTTTTAAGCTTCGTCTAATCAGTTCTTTAAGAAAAAAAAAAGTAATATGTATACATATATATATGCCAATTTGGGATATGAGAAACAATTGATTAAATGAGATATTTACAAGTTATCTAATTTAAAAATAATTGTCTCAAAATTCAATGGATTTCTTCATTCAGTCTTCCGATTATATGTTTCTTTTCTTTGCTTGTTTTTATTTGTTTTGTTATCAAAATTATATAATTGTTAGCCAAACATTTATTTAATAACCCTGGGTGTCTTTTAATTATTTTTCAGATTTTGTTTTTTGCCTAGCATCTGTTTTTTCTGTAATGAATTAAGCAAAAAAATAGTTAAATTTATTATTAATAATTTAACTGAACTAGTTATTTTCATAATTAACTTTTCTAGTCTATTATAATGTCAAATGTTACACTGTTAGTTGTTATATTAAAAGTTTTCATTGAAATTTGAAATTTTTTTCTATTTGTGATAAAGTTATAAGTTTTTCAGCTTAGACAAACTTACAATTTTCTCATCGATCTTGGACACAACCGACCTGTAAAAATGGATGATTATATTTTCACGGATAAATAATAAGTATGATTCTATTTATCACATATTGACCGGCAAATATTCATTTATTAAAAAAAAAAAATCTAATTTGAGCCACCCAGGTCATGACGTGCAATAAAAATGTTCAGCATTGTAAGTTACATTGAAAAAATAATCAGTATTTTGAAGTGTTCAAGATTCAACAACATTATAGCTATTAAGGAATATTTATTAAAACCTAGTTATTTATAATGGTTGTACTTATAGCGAATAAAAATAGAATTAAAAAAAGATAATTACTTTGAATAATTTATTTTTTACGTGGTTATTTTTTTTCTTCTAATTTTTATCCCCGCATTGTTGTTTATAGTGTTTTGTGAAAAATATTACAAACGACCTTTTTGTGATCTTTATAAAATTTGTATAGTTTTTACATATTGTCTGTTGATTGTAATGTATATATTATTTTTATTATGAATGAAAATATTGAAAATATTCAAACTTCAAATAATCGTTATTCATTAAGACAAGAAGAGGTTCATCATCTAAGAATTTGATTCTCGTATCACATCGCTATTGTGAATAATACTAAAATCAAATATTTTATTGTAATTGTAGATTTAATTTTGAACTTTGTAAACTATCAGCGTTGTATTAATTATTTTTAATGTTATCGGGTGTAAAGAAGAGGATGGTCATTTCTTTTCTGAATGAAGGCATTTGGTTCGAATCAAATAACATTTATAAAATATATTTTTATTTGATTACATTGTTGTGTTTGGTGTTCTAATTAATACATGACAAAAACATTTATAAATTTGTGTATGTTTGTGGTATAACTAACTGGAATTAAAGGTGTGAGGCTCTCTCATGAGAGTTTAAAATGTGTAAAGCAGTCAGCGGGCTTGAAAAAAGTAAAACGTTATTAAGACAGAGACAAATGTGAGAAAGGATGACTAATTGTTGGTTTTTCATTGACAGGATTATCATTTGGCGAAATCTTCATGACCCGTCAATAGCTAGGATGTAGTAATTGATGTCTACATGCTTCTCATCTTAAATCTTGCAACGTGTAAAAAAAGAATGCAAGAATTGTTCAGTTCACACGTCTTGAAGTTCCACTCTTCCATCTCACCCTTCCAAGCTTCTCTTTACTATTCACATCCCCTGAATCCTCCATGTCACTTTAAGTAACGCTAACCTTTAGACCTACTTGCCCCCTAATTCCTCCTCCTAAATCCTAGGCTGGTTTCTCAAGAAGTGTCCTCTGGGAACAGTGCTGTGATCAGGTGTAAATCATAATTTTAAGTCATTAACAGGTTCATCACACGTGTAATTCTTTATTATTTATGTATTTTTATTTTTACGAGGGTTCGCAACAACAAAGGTCATATCAAATTATCAACCCTCAGGGTGCCAGTGGTTTTTTTTTTAAATTTTTGTTTAAAAGTCCATTTGGAAGTATGTCAGGTTCGAATGCAAGGCCGCTGGATTTGAACCCGGGACCTTTACCTTACAGTGATGAGCGCCGTGTTAATGCCTAAACATTTGGCCACCGATGCCCCCCCTATGTGTAATATTTTATTTTTGTAATTTTTTAACAAGGGTTTTTCAACTACCCCAGAGTGACAGTATTTTTGAAAACCACCCATTTGTTCACTGACGCTCCTACCTCTACATATTATGCGTAGTTCACTGACTTTTTTTAAAAATTTTTAAATTAAATACAATGGATACGAGGAACTGGAGGAGGAGGAGGTCCCGTGAGCACTGCAGCTGTACAACTTATTGTACTTTATTCCTGGCTCCATTTTTTTGGGAGCTCGCAACACGTGTGAATTGAACCCCCTGGTGTGCCAGTGTTCTTCCATCGAAGAAACTCATTTTTGAAGGGGATTGGGACCAAATTCAGGGTCGCTGAGATTCAGTTCCGCCCCAGACCTTCCATTGATGAGTGCTGTGTCAATTTCTTTCAATTGCAGCCACCGGTTCCCTTAGGCATCAGAAAAAAGTCCAGAGGCGACGGTGGGGATTGAACCCACGATCTCGGTATTTACTAGCCGAGAGTTTGACGTCTTAATCACCCGACTACTCCCCTGCCTTATTACAATGTGATTGGGATATTTCCTTTGAGAAGTCACTAGCATGGATTAATTGCAATACTTTGCCTCAGTCATTAGAGGTGTCAAGTATGTGTACACCACATGAAGATTCTAACAAGCTTTTAACTTGTGCAGGTATGTCATTATGTTTATGTTAAACATGTTAAAATGTTCAATAAATATACCTCACAATGTTTGATTTGTGATACCTCAGATTCTTTCAATCCGGGTATCACATGATTTTTCAAAGTCCACTTCCCTATTAAATTTACAAGTGAATTGATTCGCTGTCGGTTTTAATAAAAAATTTAAACTAGGAATTTAAATAATGTGATTGTAATTTTTGAAAATCTTATAAAACAAACTTGAATATTTACTGGATTGACTTCTAGGTCGATGGTCAATCCCACCAGCTTTGGGAGGAAGACCCACAGAAGTCTGGAATTTACTCCAGACGGTATTGCTGTCCGGCTATTTAAGAATGACCCATGGGGGGGTAGCTGGTACTCTAAGTGGTAACTACTGCCTACTTATACTTGTGACACCAAACAATTTCTTCAAACAAATTTATGAAGTTAACATAAATGCCGGCCACCTTTGTGCCAAAGACGCAGCATATCGCCTAGCAATGTGAGGCAATATAATGCAAATACAGCATCTATCGTTTATGACTATGTGGGAGCTAAAATCAAATTATTTTCTCATCGTAATAATCTGACTCACCTGAGTTATTATAAAGAGATGTTTGTGTGCTGAAAAAGAAGCAGTGCTGCTTTGAAATGTATATAATTTTTTAAAACAATTGGTTCTATACTTTTCAATACATCATCTAAATTTATGAGATGACGTGACGCGTTTGTAAGGCATTATAAATAACTACGTTTTACTAAGAAAATATATTTATTTGTATTTTAATTTATTTATTTACCTGCATTTAAATAACGTGCTCTTAATGCTTATATTTACACTTTTAAAAAATACTAAAAAAATAAAATAGCGATAATAATTATATACAATATGAAGGCTACAGTCATGGTACTGAGGGAAGAATAAATTTCATTATAATCCAAGCGGGTTTTTCTGAACGAAACCGCCATTTTCACATACATTTTTAGCGATCTGGCTAAGCGTAACGAAATTGTCTAAACTTTCTGAGCTGTTGAGAGCGCCGAGATTTGATGCCACTCTAGTAGCAGCCTGGAAGAAGAAAAAGTTAGTAAAACGACAAGATTAAGTCGTTGAAATTGCCTTACCTCCGAGCACCAGACTTTCGTCATCAGTGCTTCATGCTCAGCAGACGGCGAGTTGGTATTTAGGGATTTTGTCGCCCTCGAGAGGACAACCACCATAGCGTAAATGTCGATCGCAGAGGAGGCGATTCTATTCAACAGGAACTGCTGCTCGACGATTCCTTTTCCAAACTTGATCAGAAGGCCCTCTACAGCAGGGCCGAACTGAGCAACACTCCTGCCAACTTGAGCGGCGCATGGTGTTAGAGACGGATGGACATATTCAGCAACCGATGGTGTGCTGCCAAGTCCGACTGACCTAAGTCCACGTTTTGTCACTTCTTCAAGGATCAAAGATAAATGAGCTGTTGGTTGTTTAAATGCCTTCTGAAGTTCCCGAAGGTGCATTCCAGCAAATTGAAAACCTGTTATTGTTCAAAATGACAATTTAACTTTTATAAATTTACTATTTTTAGCTTTTTAGCAAAATTTGCCATTCAACTAAGTTTAACAAGACTAAAATATATTTTTACCAGTGAGTGCTACGAAGAGTCTAAGGATATCGTTGGTGCCTTCAAAAATTTTAAAGATCCTTAAGTCCCTCATAACACGTTCTAATCCTGTATCTCTCATGAAACCCATGCCTCCGAGGATCTGAATCGCCTCATCTGTTACCGTCCAAGCACTATCTGAGGCGAAAACCTAAAAAAAGGCCCATTATTTAAATAAAATTACAAAAATTATTTTTCAGAAACATACTTTTGAAATGGCAGCTTCAAGATGATAGTCTACACTTCCAGAATCCATATTTCCAGAGAGGCAGTAGGCGATACTTTCGGTAACGTAGTGCAGCATGGCCATTCTGGCGAGTTTCTCCTGAATCGTACCGTACGAATCAATCTTCCTGCCAAACTGAACCCTGTTCGTCGCATGTTCTACAGCTTTCTCGGTAACCGCTCTCATCGTACCTGAAAGAGCTGCGGCCATGCCAAAACGTCCGTTGTTCAAAATGTTCATCGCTACCTAAAAGGGTACAAAAATATTAGATTCAGAAAATTAATTGGAAGGTTAATGACTGCCTACCTTGAATCCCTCTCCTATCCCACCAAGAACGTTTTCAACTGGGATTTTTACATCCTCGTAATAAACTTCAGCCGTATTTGAGGCCTTGATACCCATTTTTTTCTCTGGAGGGCCACTAGTGACACCTCCGAAAGATCTTTCGACTATAAAAGCTGTAACTTTGTCTACAGTTTTTCCTGAAAAGTAACAAATTGTGAATAATAAGCATCTATCAAAACTGACAATACAGTTCATGTTCTAAAATGGCAAGATTTGCAAGATGGAAACTAATTTTCTGGAATTATATTTTTAACTTAAAAATTTGTTTTTTACTGGTTCATTACCTGTTTTAGGATCGTTGACAGGCGTTTGAGCAAATACTGTCATGATTTCAGCAATCCCTCCATTGCTGATCCAAATTTTACTCCCATTCAAAATGTAGTGCTTGCCATCTGGAGAAAGTACTGCTCTACTCCTACATTATTGACATAAAAATGCAAATAAAATACATAACATTTGACAATGAGAGGAATGAATAAATTACTTGATTGAGCCGGCGTCAGATCCAGATGATGGCTCAGTGAGGCAGAACGCTGCATATTCTCTCCCTGTCGAGACTCGTGGCAGGTATTTCGCTTTTTGTTCAGGATTTCCAAAGAGAAGGATACCCTTGAATCCGATGGACTGGTGGGCGCCCAATGTGATGCCAACGCCGAGGTCGTGCCTGCCGACGATCTCGACAAGTCTGGCATATTGTGTGTTTGAGAGGCCAAGGCCACCGTATTCTTGTCCGACTTGCAGTGAAAATGCACCGAGATCCCAAAGACCTTCTAGCGTATGTTTTTCCACTTGACACAATTCATCGTTGGCTAATGGATTATTTACTTCCTATTTTAAAAATAAATAAATTTTATTAAAAATCAACATCAAGATTTTGATCAATGCTTCAATTCACCTTGAAAAATTTGTTAACTGGGTCAATAAGCATTTGAAGGGTTTCTTTTTGTTCACTTGTAAGTACCTCAGGATAAGGAAATACTTGGCTGGGTTGAATTACACCACGGAAAAGGTTCAACATGAATGAATGTGATTCTTTTGGACCTTTTTCTTCCTCTTTCTTTTCCACCTTTGCTGCAGTTGCCATTTTCCTTTAGAAATAAAATAAAATTGAAATAAGCACATATTTATTTGGCAACTGTGCCTTTTAAATGTTTGTAAAATGCCAAATGGCAAAATGGGAAAGGTAATAATCATAATAAGTCTGGGTTCTTTTGATATTTGTTCTTCTCTGATCTTTTAATAAAATATATGTATTTCATTATGTACATCTAGAAGTTTTCTATTTCTTTTTAAGCTTCACGTAGCAAATTGTAGCTTGTCAGTGTTGTGGGTCAATTGATGGTTCACAGATCACCCGGTGAAAATGGTGACATGCATGTATGTATGCAATGATGTATGTTTTAAAAAAGGATTGCATGTATGTATGCAATGATCATACATGATGATTGAAAACGATCAAATTACAAGTTTATAATTTTATCATGCAATGAATCTTAACAAGAAATTACACTGTTGTTTAATATGTTAACCAACTGGACCAATTTCATTATAAACCAGAGTAATTTTATATCCCAGTTATCTATAAATTATCTTTATTGAAACAAGAGATATAGAATATGAACAATATGTCAAATTTATTTAATAAAACAAGACAAAAAAGTTTTGTTTACTGCATTATTTGAAGAACTGTTTTCAATAATCATGTTTTTGTTGGAATGAGGGCATTTTTGTCGTGACAAATATGCTTAATGAGGATAACAAAATGTTTTTAACATCGTTGAGTCAAGGCTGGTTTTAAAAGTGGGTTCTTTTATTTCAGGAAAAAAAAAGAGGAAAACATTTATGAATAGATAAGGTAGCAGTGAAATTGTTGCTCAACGTTCAACTTTCTCTCCCTTTACTAATAGTGACTTTCCGGATTTCTTCTATGATTGCATAACATCAAACAGACTTCCATGTTATCTACAAACTATTTCTAAATCCATTCTATTTGTGTGTGAGGACGAGTCTTGAACAAACAATCAACTGAGCGAAGAAAAAAGATTAGATTTGAAATTTTTGTAATGATTAGATAAACAGTACGAGTGAGATCAAAGTCCCACGATTTGTTATTTGTACGACGAGGATCTGTAAATCTACGATACAATTTAAATGAAATAAATATGATATAAATATTTTCATACCCATCATCAAATAATAATTTGACCAAATTGACAAAAAAGATAAGCCACGGGAGAGGAAAATACACCTTTAATTGTGTTATACGTCAGTACACATGTCCTTGAACTGTTTCACGTTTTGCTCTTTGCGTTTCACACATTAGCTTGGATTTTTTTCTGGCAATATGAATGAGTAATCAAAATAATTACCGAGTCCCTTTTTTTTATTCCTGGCTTATCTTTGAACTAACAATTAATTAACAATTAGAAAAAAAAAATCTGAATGTTGTTGTTCTTTAATCCATGTTGTTTGTATTAAAAAATAAATAAATAAATAATTCTGACTGGTAGGTAACAAAATTATTCTATTTTATTTATATTTCCTATAATGTCAATTCTCAAAATTAGCATTATTCTTAACTCTTTCAGGCAAATAAATAAAAACAAAGAGATGAGACAGTCAATTACACTTGAAACTATCCCAAAATTTCATCTATCCAATGAAATAACATCAATAAACCTAATAGTGTTACTGAAAAATAGGGAAACAAAGGATTTTGACACAATTAGCTTTAAACTCGATTCATACAGACAAATAAATCCTGTGAGATTAGACAATTAAGACTAACTGAAAATCATACATAGTCTACTGAAAAATTAAATAAATAAAGTTATAGTAAAAGAAGTGGAATGAAGTAAAGGAAAAAACCGAGATTTTAAACACAGAATAATTAAGTTTAGACAGAAATTTATTTCTTCCATGGAAATAAATCAGTAAGCTTAAAAATGTGGTAAGTAGAAAAAAAAGAGAAAGTAACCCAGAAAATGACGGATTTACATATTCATAATAGGATGCCAATAAGCTTAATAATGTGGGAAAATAATTTCAGGAAAGAAAAAAAAGAATAAAATGAGAAAGTAACATAGAGAAGTAACATTGATTATTACCAGTAAAAAAGAAACAATTTAGCCATTGAAAATACATAACAGATAAGATTTAGTTAAGCAACTGCATATATAATTGTAAAAGAATAAAAGTCTGTATAATATTTTATTTATACATTTGTTCTTGTTTGCTTGTATCAAATTTCTCAACCTCAAATGAACATTATATCTTATAAAAATACGCAAATATATAATTTTTTGTTAACATTTATCCACCAAACTATGTTGTTTTCTTGCTTGTAATCTAGTGCAGTTTCTTATCCGTGGTTGTGATATATATATATATCTTGATATGTTGGCTGTTTCCTTACTTGACAGTGATTTTGCTACCATGCAAACCACACTGCTGTTTACAGGACAGAAAATATGACTATTGAGGTACTTATTCATAGGTTGTTTGAAATTCTAAATAAAACACTTTGAGCCCTGAAGATGATCTCAATAAAGATAGAAACGTTGGCATGATAAAGAAAATATTTTTCTGAAACCTACATCACACCAGACCGCATCTCATGACTTCCAAATAAACAACAAGTAACGGTCACTAAAACCACACATTCTAAATAAATGTGGGTGATTAGTGAGTGTTAGTCAATGATTATTCAGAGATCGTGAGATGCTGTCTGGTGTGACATAGGTTTTAGAAAATTTTCTTTATCGTGCCGTTTCTATCATTATTAAGATCATCTTCCGGGCCTGTGATTTAGAAACATTGTTTAAATTTAACAAATACATGTACGATGCGGATAAAAAGTGAATTTATACAATGCAAAAAAAATATTTTTTATATACAATCAAAGTTACGCAATTATGCTGAAAACAAACACTTTGAGTGAGTAGAAATACTTTGATTGTATATAAAAAATATTTTTTTGCATTGTATAAATTCACTTTTTTCCACATCATCTATGTATTTGTTAAATTTAAACAATGTTTGTAAATCACAGGCCCTGAAGATGATCTCAATAAAGATCGAAACGTTGGCACGATAAAGAAAATGCTTTTCTAAAATCTACGTCACACCAGACCGCATCTCATGAACTCCGAATAATCATTCTAAATAAAATTGATACACAGTATAAACAGATAATATTTATCGGTGATGTCAAGGTACACGTTCTTTACACTGAGAATAAAACAGTGAGAGAGTTTACTAATTTATTGTGTATGCTTGATTTACATTTCAAAAGCGTTTGACACTGTTGATCACAACGTACTAATCAAAAAACTGAATTACTAAGGAGTAAGAGGATCATTATTAAAATTCTGTAGAAATTTTTTAGTAAATAGGAAATAAATGCTTGTCATAAACAAAACAATTTCTCATCAGAGGAGAGTCGCTTGTGCAGGGTTCAGTTCATAATTTACTTGAATGACTTAAGTATATTTGTAAATAATGTAATCAGAAACAAAACTACTTTTCAATTAGTAGACACTAGTTTTTTTTTTTTTTTAAGTTTCTGTGCTATTGTAACTGGTAAACAATTAAATTTAACTTAATATAAAAAGATAATAATTATTATAATAAATAATGAGATAGAAATTTAATAAAGAAATATGGTAGAATTTAGAGACATTATTACTTTTACAATTAGCCTGAACTTTAATTTTCCATGGAAAAACAATCGATAAGCTTATTAATCTGACAAAATAATTTGAGAAAAGAAAGGATTTTGAAACTTACAATAGATTTAGGTTGTTTTCAAGTTTGAAACTTGATTCACCCAGACAAAAAAAGCCTTGATTATTAGACAATATTCTTAATTAAAGAATCATGCATGGTGTACTGTAAAATTAAATATTGGCAATAAAATTTTTTAAATTATTATCTAAAAAAATTGAAATTTTATTATTTCCTGAAAACAAAATCAATAAGATTAATACTGTGACAAATAATAATAATAATAATAATCTGGGGTACGAGTCTACCCAGGCATTTAACCCCTCAGGTCTTGGTCGCCCACCCTGCATAATATAATAATAATACAAAATAAATAAATAAAATAAAAAACCCAGGAAAGAAAGAATATTGATACTCATGATAGGTTCTAGTTTTTGTCAAACGTAAAATTCGATCATCCAGATTAAATAATAGCAATGATTATTGAATAATTATGCTTTAATAAAATTCAAACACAGTGTACTGTAAAATTAAATAACGATAATCTATATATATAAAAATAGTCTATTGACTGACTGGCAGACAACGCGCAGACCAAACCGTTGGATCAAAAGGGCTGAAATTTCGAGTGTATTCTTATAACAACATTGATAGCTGCTAAGAAAGGATTTTTTGAAATTCCATTCCTAAGGGGACCACATGGACAATTTTTTACGACGTAAAGACCGAAGTGAACTGAGGAAGAGTAGAATTTGAGAAATGAGACATTAAATTACCAAGCCGTACTAGCATTCTACATCGCATTGGAAAGGTGCATTAAAACAGAGTCCCACACGGATGAAGTCGCGGTTAAAAGCTAGTAATAGATAAAGATACAGAAATGTCCATTAAATTACACTGATAAACAACAATAATTTTAGAAAAAAAAGAAGAAAGCAACATACGAAAGAAAGGATTTTAAAATACGTAATAGGCCTAGGTTTTTTTTCAAGTTTGAAATTCAATTAATCAAAATAAAAAACATCATTGAAAACTAGCCTGAAACTTGATTTTACATTGACAATAAATAATAAGTTAAATGAAAAGAGAAAGTAACATAGACAAGAAAAAATTTAGACATTAATAATAGGCTTTTTGTCAAGCTTGAAGCCCAATTCATAGACTAATTAATAGTAATGATTATCAGAGAATTATGCTCAATTAAAGATCAGTGTTCTTTAAAATTAAATAACAACAGTAATAAAGAAATGGAAATCTTAATACAAAAGTAGAATGTAGTAAAGGAAAAAGACATGTTTTTACATGTAAAACTAGCCTGAAATCTAATTCTTACATGTACATTCACCCATAAAAGTTTAATAATGTGACAGAATAATTGTAAAACATCAAGGAAGAGAAAAGATTAAAAAAAAGTAAGAACTTAAAAATTTTTATTTTTAACCAGTTGAGACTTGCAATCATTTCAGCTTGATTTATTGCATGATATTCTTTCTTTTGGGGTTTTCAAAAATTCTTGAATCACCTAGAAATCATAGTAAAAAAACATGTAATTAGAACTTGTCATCAATTATCAAGAAAAACGTCAGACTTGAAATTGGGCCAGTTGTAATCTACGTCTCACAATAATTTTATAAATAGTGTCCAGTTTTATAAAAACATTTCAACACAATAAATGACCAGCAGACGCCTTAATTGGTGTAAATTGTACTTAATTATGTTTTAATGGAGTGATTTTTTAAAAAAAATAAAATTGATATTTTACCTGGCATGTTTAAGATTTGATCGGTTGACAACTTGGAAAATCTGAGCATCATTTGTCGACCGTTGGGCCAATCTCGTAAGGCTGAGTTTGAACATTTTGAGATTAAAAAGTGGGCAGACACGACGGACGAAAACGTAAAAGTCTTAATTTATCTCCACGAGCTTTGGTTCGAAATAATGTCGGTTGGTACAAAAAGCACTAAAACTATATCTGAACTGGCCTATTAAAGAGAGACACTGGTATCTCTCGTTAGTCCTTGGTTTTGACTTTAGAGTTTAGATAAACCTATAGCACTAGGTCACTAGCGACTACCTTTTAATCTGAACCGAAATACAACTGATGACGTCGAGTCTGTTGGGCATGACATCAGGGAAAATTTCCCTCTATGATTCATTCAAAATAAAAACACATCTCTTCAATTAATTATTAATTAATTATCCAAAGATTAACAACTTTACATAGAGAAATGCCATAAAACTTGAATTAATTAGATTCAGCTGAAATCATAACACATATGTACATACACATTTGTACTGTTATATATTTATTGTATTATTTGAAATGTATGAAAAGTATAATTTATTTATATGGTAAATATACCCAGTTACAAGTTCTATAAAGTTTAAACTATATATAAATAATAATGAACAATTGAAACATAAATAATAATATACATATAACATAAATGAAAAATGTGGACATATTCAACATAAAAAATACAAATAAAATATTTAAGTATTGTGTCATAATACACAAGTCTATAAAAATATAAATGAAGTGAGAAGGAATGATAAAAAGTTTTTAAACCACAAAAATATATAAACAAATATAAAAGAAAGTGAAAAGGAACGATAATAATTTAATAAACATAAAACAAAACTTTAAACAACAGAAATATATAAATAAATATAATAGAAATAAGAGGGACTGATAAAAACTTAATTAAACATAAAACAAAACTTTAAACAACAGAAATATATAAATATAATGGAAATGAGAGGGACTGATAAAAACTTAATTAAACATAAAACAAAACTAAACAATTAAAATAGAATAATAGAAATTTATAAGCACTTATAAAGGAATTTTAAAAAAAAACTTTAAACAATTAAACAACAGAAATATATAAACACATATAAAGGAATGAAAAATTTAATTAAACTTAAAACAAAACTTTAAATAATTAAACAACAGAAATATATAGACAAATATAAGGGAAGTGAAAAGGAATGATAAAAATTTAATTGAACAACAAAAATATATAAAGAAATCTAATGTAAATGAGAGGGAGTGATAAAAACTTAATTAAACAAAACAAAACTAAACAACAGAAATTTATAAGCACTTATAAAGGAATGAAAAAAAATTAAACTTAAAAAAAAACTTTAAACAATTAAATTACAGAAATATATAAACAAATATAAAGGAAGTGAAAAAGAGCGATAAACATTTAATTAAAAATAAAACAAAACTTTAAACAATTAAACAACAAAAATATATAAACACATATAAAGGAATGAAAAATTTAATTAAACTTAAAACAAAACTTTAAAAATTAAACAACAGAAATATATAAACACATATAAAGGAATGAAAAATTAATTAAACAAAACAAAACTTTAAACAACAGAAATATATAAACACATATAAAGGAATGAAAAAATTAATTAAACATAAAACAAAACTTTAAACAACAGAAATATATAAATAAATATAATGGAAATGAGAGGGACTGATAAAAACTTAAACATAAAACCAAACTAAACAATTAAACAACAGAAATATATAAAGAAATATAAAAAAATACACAAACAAATCAAACCCAATAGCCATGATTAATATTTAAACAAAAAAAGAAGTTAAAATCAACTTAAGGAAAGGTAAAGTGTCACAATATAAATAAAGATTATTACTTGTTTCCATGAGTTGAGGGATCAGACTAAATTTTATTATTAGTATTAAAAAATAATATTTTTGTCTGGTATTACACTGTGGAACGTGGCAATTTAGCAAATCAATTAATTGTTGACAGTCATTCATATTATTGAAGGATTTGTAAGAAAATGTCAGATCATTATTTTGTTGGCTTATGTTTAGTGGTTGCAGTTCTGTTTCTATTTCACTTATAGTTATTGATTGCTTGGTTAAGTCTATCGCTTTTAAGTGCACTGAGCAAATCGGTACATAAACAGTAAGTGTACAATAAACATATTTTATATATATTTATTATACCTAATTCATTATTCAATTCTCTACACTTATATAGTTAATATTGAAACCTCCGTTGAACCAATTTTCTTATTTATTAAATTCACTAATTTCTTGGTCCACTTGACCAATTAATATATTACAATTAATTAAGGTTTTTAGTTGAGATAAAAAAGTCAATGGCACGAGCGGGATTCGAACCCACAATCTTCGGCTAGATACGCCGCTGCTCTACCACTTGAACTATCGTGACCTCGATCCACTCGGACACCAACTTCCTATCCCAACCCCACCTTTTGAGTTTTCCCTCCTTTTTGCCATTTTTCAACATACATATTTCCGTTGCCATTTCATTTGTCGCTGAGAATCCAATCCGATTATACGACATTTGAAAAATGGCAAAAAGGAGGGAAAACTCAAAAGGTGGGGTTGAGACAGGAAGTTAGTGCCCAAGTGGATCGAGGTCACGATAGCTCAAGTGGTAGAGCAGCGGCGTATCTAGCCAAAGATCGTGGGTTCGAATCCCGCTCGTGCCATTGACTTTTTTTTCTCAACTAAAAACCTTAATTAATTGTTTCTTATTTATATTATACCTGCATTTTAAATTTTGTTTGAGGGTGCTGTCACTTCCTGGTCATCAATTGGTAAATGCTGTAGTCGTGGACTATGGTTTGATTCTTGGGGTATCATGTCTCACCATTATTCTTGTATGTTGAGGGGGCATCAGTGGCCGCAATGGTTTAGGCATTGACACACACTCATTACTGCAAGGTAAAGAGCCCCGGTTTGAATCCACCGACCCTGCATACGTACAAACGCTTTTTTGGGCCCGAAGGTTCATATAACCTCTTAGTTTAGGGTTCATGTACCCTTATAAAAAAAAAAAAACTTTTTAAAGAGAAAAAGATGAGTGTAATGCATTGTTCACATAGAATGTCAATAGAAAATAGCTTGGCCTCATGCGATGAACCTTTAGCTTGATTTTTTCATGTTGGTTTTTGTCTGTCAGACGTGTTTCAGTTTTCGCCATCTTCAATGGAACAACTGTTATTTTGTCAATCGTGTATTTCTTATAAGTTTTTTTTGTTGGCAATAGCATGGAAGTGAAATTCAAAACAACTTTCTAAAATTTATCAACTTAAACAATTATATTTGAAAAGAACTTAACGAAAAGAACGTCCAGAGCAACTGGACTATATTTCATTAAAAAAGAAACTTATCTAAATTCGTATAGTATAAATTTCAAATGTAATTTATATTTAACATGTAATTTTTTTTTATATTTAACATGTCCATTTATACAATGGACAGATCTGACAAACCAAACCAGCAGGACTAGGCAGACGAGAGACGATCAATCTAAAGCCTATAAAAATAGGTAAGAAATTCACTGTAAAAATTGTAAAATGAGTCAAGGAAAAAGTCCAAAACAGGAAAAATAATGTTCAAGTTTAAATTAAAAGACAGCAAGATTATAATATTTATTTGAAATGTAATAACAACCTGTTAGGACAGGTCTAATTTTACAAAACATAAGCCATAATTAAGTTTTTTTTTTCATTTTTTTTTTTTTTTTTAAGGAGATAATGCAGCAATGCAAATATGCTCATGGTAGGTAGCCATAAGTGGTACACAATTCTTATTAAAAACGATTTTTCTTTTCTCTTTATAGTTATATATATATATTATTATTAATATACGAAATCAAGGATTTCCTCGATACTACAATACAATACGGAATCAACAAATATGTGTCCTTCTTAGAGAACAATAATATAAGTATATTTTGTCACGATTGGTAAATTTTTATTTCAGCAGTACAACACATCGGGTATTTGTAGCTGTCTGGAATAAGTTATATTGTCGTGTTCAATGTTACTTTCTATGTGATTCATCATAGCAGTTCTGCTTTAAAATCACACGCACAGTCTCACATTAGGAATAGACAAATGTCGTTATCCTTCTTTCCCTTGAAATATATCCATCTAAAAAATTTCCACATTTCATTCAGTCTGATCGAAAGTCAAGAAAATCAAATTCCCAGACTCTTAAAGTTCACAGTAAATACATTAACATTTAAAATATTCAGTTTCTTTTTTCTCGACACATATTAAATTTATCATTAAACCCATTTAACATTGTACAATAAATAAATACATATTATATATAATATTACATAAAATGTAGTTAAATAAGCTCTATTTGACTAATACTAAAAGTAAACTTAGACCGATCTATCAAGAATTTAGAATCACTTCAGATACTTTACATTATAGAAAATATACTATCTTTAGCACAGCCTCTCTGGCATTACTCTCCTATGATTAAGCGCATCACACTTCACAACATTTCTTAGTTTTATATTTTTTGTAATTCACTTTTTTAAGAGCTCGCCCTGCACATAGCTATAGTAAACATTCATTTTTTTTTGGAGCCTAATGTCAGTTTTTAACATGATTTATCTGACAATTTTTATAGACCTTCTTGATATGCCGCCACTTGAGCTCAGTTCCTTTACCATCTAGATGTGCAAAAAAGTATATTTTAATAAAGAAATCAGTAACATAAAAACAATAATCATGATAACATGAAAATAAAAGTATACAACTGGAATATTTGTGATTTTTTAGCTTCATTGTCTTGCAGAACTAGGCTACAACTAGGATAGTAGCATTTGCAAAGCCCAATGTCTAAAATTTGTTGGACTCATCCCAGAAAATAAGTTGTGAAGTACTTAAAACACAGTTGCCAAAATAAACTTTAATTAGTTTAAACAACTATTTTGAATGATAGAAAATATCTACTATAGAATTTATTGGAAGGTTGTTCGACTGAAATATTACACTGTTTTATATTTTGTAGTCAATACGTTTTTTTTTTACATATAAAAAATACATTTGTTAAAATTGTAAAATAGAGACTAAATGAATACTCTTCAAAATTTTCTTCTTTTTAGAAATAACACTTTTTTTTTCTGACTAGCAGCTGAAGAGCTCGATCAACTATGTCTTTTGAAGTCAGCCTTGAGTGTTGGTAAGTAAGTTTTATTTTTCTTACATTTTGTTTTTTTAATCATTACATCAATTTCAGATATGGATTTTGACACCTCGATGACACAAATATCAATAATTGGCAGTTAGGGAAAAATTTAGTGAGGTTATCCCTAATATGATTAAAAAAACACAAGAAAAGATCTTTTGGGAAAAAAGTGATGGGGCTAAACTGGCAAACGTGCTCTTACGTATTGTTTGCCACTACAAATTTTCAGAAACGAAAGTACAAAATATTATTTGAACTACAGTTATTATCAGGCTGTACATTCTATAAGACAGTGAAGAGGTAAGGGGAGATGGGAAGTACCAGTCTGTGAGATACACACAAAACACATATGCATTCTTATCTCCTCTTGCTAAATATCTGAAACAAAACAAAAGTTTAATTTAAACAATAGTATATAAATTAAATAGTAAATTGAGTAATACATTTATTATATAACCACTTAGAGGAAAAATAAGGGTAAATAAAATAAAACTTTTAAAATTGAGAATGAAATAACCTCATTATAATAATAAAAGTAATGGATGTATTATTATGTATATATTTTTTTAATAAATGCCTAACAGCTTCCTCAAATGGATCAAACAGCATACAAGATTTGAAAATATTCGACTGATATTCCCTAGGACTAGATAATCTCAGAGCATCCTGGACATCACATAGCTTGTCTTTGGCGTCTTCAGTGACTGAATGTCCGATAAAATCAAACCTACAGCCAAATGTTTATATTTTGTCAAGCACAGACAACTGTTTTACAGTTTGCCTTGAAATTATGTCATATATGTATATTGCGAGTGTCGGTGTTGACACATCGCTCATCACTGTAAGGTGAAGGACCTGGGTTCACATCTAGTGGCCCTGAATAGTTACTAATTTTTTTCTTCCAAAATCACCTGTACCCTGAGCCTCATAGTGAAATACCTTAAAAAAAAGACAAAAAAAGTTACAATAAAATTTATAATTTGGCCATTATCAATCATTTCAATCATTTTTAGTCTGCCTATCTTCGCTGGGTTGGCCAATTAGAAGCGTTTTGGTATTTCATTATATTAATTTCAAATTTTTTTTACCTCAAGAGAGTTGGTAAATGCTCGGAAGAAGTGGTCTTTGAACAAATACGATCAGGACTAAAGGGTGGATGTGGCAGAAGCTAAGATTTCATCAATTTCTCAAAATAATTTATTTGTATTTTAGCTGGTTGAAGCAAAACTGTTTTCTTATTTATAAATTGGGAATCGTCTTTCCTAACGTTTTTGCCTTAGGACAGTTGGCAAACGCTTGTTAGATGTCATGTTTGGGAGCTTGATCAGGACTATAGGGTGGGTGAGGCAGAAGCTAGATTTCATTTATTACCAAAAGTTTTTTCTTTGTATTCAGGTATTTGCTTTGTATTTCAGCAAGTCAGGTTGAAACAAACCTTTTTTCTTATTCATAAGCTGGAAATCTTCATTCTTAACATTTGTGCCTCGAGGAAGTTGGTAAGTGTATGGAAGAAGTGACCATAATTTAAGGAGCAAGATTGAGACTAGGAGGGTGCAGCAGAAGCCCAATTTTATCCATTTTTTAAATTTTTTTCTTTGTTTTAAATTTTTATTTGGCCAGGACCCATGTTTGGACAAAACTTTACTACTATGCTCTAAAGATGAGTATCATCTATACAAAAACTTGTAAATGATGAAATTGTAAATAAAGCTCTGAACTGAACTTGACTTGAAATAATTCAGATAGTACATTTTTTACCCACTGTTAAAAACAATTCAGCAAACAAACTGGAGGGCTTTTTTACCCAGAAAATCTGACAAGTAGTTAGATTCTATTTATTAAATATTCAAATTTTTAAAGACAGAATCAAGGGAAGAACAACAACAATTTTCTTACTATCGTAAATGAAAGAAGGGCTATAAAATATTTCGTTTGGTGGGGGTCTAATACAAACTCAAACTATTGAAACCAGACATTTCGTTCTGGTTTGGAAAACCGTTACCCAATGACAATTCCTGCCGAGTTTGGACTTACCAATTTATGTGGGGTTAGAGGAGAGTGGTGGCTGAGGGGGTGGGAGCAGGGCAAGCGTTTCAGGGCTCGCTCCCGCCCTCAGTATGTTGTTTTCCGACTCTAATTGTGAAATACGTTCCATCAGCTCTGCAATCTTTTCTTTAAGCACTTCGACCTCCTCCCGGACTGCAAACATTAAGTGGCTCTTCACCAGATCCTATGTTCGGGCAGAACAAGAGATTTATTAAAATTTGTTTGGATATTAAAATACATATACATATTTTAAAACATAAATTTTAAATGTAATAAAATATTCCAATAATTAGAATTGGGGGACGAATTAGAACATTGGACCCCAAAGCTAGGTCAGTTATTAATTAGGAATTATCTTTCTCAATATACAGATTTGATATGAATGAAATATTATAGTTAATTCATCTATTACAAAAATTCTTATCTACTACCGAGAATATAAAATGTTCTGTAAAATTAAAGTTCTGTAATTTCCAAGATATTCATTGAATGTACACATTTTCTAAGACTAAAGATTCCAAGAATGAACCAGCAATTTTCTTTCTATTCATAATTTTCATTTTTGTGACATGTCTGAGCATACTTAATTATGATTTGAAATTTATTAGGAACTAGATGATTTTGGTCTCCCTATTCTTGACGGCTTTGGCAAGTAAGAATTGTTGGAGATGATCAAAATACAAAGTGATAACCTCGCAGACATCAACGCAATATCTCAAAATATAAAATTGATCTATGTTTAAATAATAGTACAAATTTTATAACAATTGGTAAATTGAAAATAATGGACTACCATAATCAAAGCATTTAAATCAAGTGTTAAGTGATTATGTACACCAGAGATAGCCTTAATGATGGTGATAAAATCACTGAAGGCATAAACTTAATAACTATCATTCATCTTAATGTTTTCACATATAATTTTTTTTTAAAATTATGAAAACCAAAAGTATTTATGAGTTAAAGATTAATTAACTCATATTATATTTTGAGGTTTGACTTGTAAAGTTTAATATAAAAACAATAAATATATCTTTATTTTATGCCATAAAAATATAATTATTCAGAAATCGTGAGATGCGGTCTGGTGTGATGTAGGTTTCAGAAAAACAAAATGTTTGTCTTCTGTGTAATTGTGCCATTCTTGCGTGTCGTGTTGAGAGTGCCCAATTATCGATTAACGGTCACTAATCACCACACATAAAAATATAGTGGGTTTCTATTTGCTCCATCGACTATCCATTTTGCATAAAAAGTTGTTCAGAAAATAAAAATTTGTTTTAATTAATAAAGATTGTTGTCACAAAAAATTATTGCTTGACTAAGACAAAAATGCCTTAAACCTAGGAAATTTCAAGTGTTAAAAACTTCCCTTTTTGGAGAGTTTCTTGCAAAATCGATGGAACATTAAATTTTCAATTCAGTTCCATTTCTAGGTCCGTGACCTGAGGTAATGTAACATTAGGTCCTCTAGGATGTCGATCAATATTGATTTACAAATCACCCCCATGCCATTACCTAACAATTCATTCAATAAATACATTCCATGTTAATTTTTTAACATACTTTTGCCAAAATTTCTGCGAGAATTTAAAATTCATAGTTCTTTAAAATAAATGGCTCAGACATGTTTCCGTGTACGTGTGTGGACTAAATCAGTAATTGAATTACTGACTTCGTTGGTCTTGTTAATGTAAAAATACAATTTAAGAATACTAATTAATGGTCTTACACAATAAAAAACTTTAACCTTTCAACCTTTTTATTTTAAAAGGAGTCGTAATTAAATTTTTAAACAGTCCACTTTTCTTTTTTAAAACAAAATGTCTTAATCTTGACAGTCTGACAAAATTGCGTCCACATTATTAATAAATACTCCAGTGGTATTTCAAACACTTTGAAAATGTTCCAAATGAATTCAGTGATTTATGGAAAATTAAATTATCCAAACAATCAGCACAATTATGCCAAAATTACAATTAAAACTAAAACAAATAATTAAAAGGACTCACCATCGCTTGCTCGATTTTGTTGTCAATAGCGACTGCACTTGCTCCTGAGGCACTGAAACAATATAAATTTTTAGTTACAAGGAAAATAAAACTTATAAAATCTAATTTGTTATTATTAATAACCACAAGAGAAAAAGTTTAAATTAAGGTGAACAAACTAATAAAATTACATTAATTGAAAAACTTACTTTATATAAATTTAGGTTTGTTAATAAGACAATTCATAAGCCATTTTGTTAAGTGTGCGAATTTTTTCAATTTAATCTCAAAGTGGTTAATAAAAAGTTTTATTATATAATTATAGTATAAATAAACAAAATACTTAGTAATAATGGTAACAAACTTTTTTTTTAAATTAAATTATTTTAATTTTAAATTTTATATCAATTCAATACTGAAGTGTAACAAAGCTTGAATGAATTAAAGTACATTATTTTATTCTCTGGCCCGTTTCTTCTCACTTATTTTCAATTTAAGCTATTCCTAAAGCTGAAAAACAGTCCGTGACAAAAGCGATGACTGCTGTCGACTAGTCTTAATAAGCGCCCAAAGAAAAACAACTTTTGAGAAAGTACAATGTATGACTCTCAAATAGGTAAAAATTTAAATTTTGTTTTCATTATCAAATCTGGTCCTATTCTCATATCTATATCTGTACCTAAAAGTATTAATGATCCTGAAGCTTGGATCAAAAGTGATAACAGATAGACCAGAAATAACCAGTCCAAAAGTACATTTTATGACTGTCAAGTAAAGAGAAGTTTTAATAGTATATTAATCAATCCCGGTCCGCCTATTTTCGCTTGTTTTCCAAAGAAAACAGGTGGATCAGAGATCAAAAGTGACGAAAGGCAGGGCAGAAATAATCAAACTGCAGCCCATTTGTCTTAATAAATCACTGAAAGTAAAACATCTTTTGAGAAAATACAATGCATTGATTCTCACGTGCTTAGAAGTTTACCGGACGTTAATCAAGTCTGGTGCACCTATCATCGCTTGTTTTTCTAATTTCGTCTGTGATGAAACATATGGCTAAATAAAAAAGCGACGACAGGCGGACCAGAGATGTTCAAAATGCTTTCAACTAGTCGAAACTGTATGCCATTCAAGTAGTTAATAGGTTTAATCGGAATTCAATCAAGTCTGGTTCAGCTATTCTCATTTTTTTTTCCATCTAGTCGTCAATGATGATGAAACAAATGACTAAGTAAAAAAGCGACGACAGGCGGACCAGATATGAACAAAACGCTTTTTATTCCGTCTGTTCTCGCTTGTTTTCCATCTAAAGTCGCTGAAGCATATATGTCTAAGGAACAAAAGTAGCAACAGGAGGAGCTAAGTTGATAAAACCGCTGTTAACACTTGTGTACAAGAAGCAATAAATCGTCTCCAAAAAAAAGAAAGAAGAAAAAAGGGGTCGTCTTTACTTTCGTGCTTGTGTTTGTTTGGACGCCGCTGCACTCCCGCACTACAGACGGAACGCCAACATTTTCTTTTATCATCTTTTGGATTGGGGCCATTCGGCCAAAATTAAACATAGTGAAAACAACCTAGCTCTTGCAAAATGTTGCTTTTAAGGGAAATAAGTTTTGTGAAGAGTACAAAATTGAAAAAACAAAAAACGGATCGCCTTTAATCTGTTTCTTTGTATTTGTAAATGAAAATTACCCCTTTTGATATAGGGTTTTTAAACCATTTCAACTATTATCATCTACTTTTAATCATCGGCGTTCGTAGCAATACAGCTTGCCAAAATGTAAAAAAAAATATACTTAGAAGAAATTAAGTCCTTGGAAAAACAATAATAAAGTTCAAAAGAAAAACATGTTATAGAAACAACAATAAAATTAAATATAGTTTCTTTCTAATAATATTTCACCTTTTGTTGTGCTATAAGAATAGAAAATAATTTTTAATTTTGACACATGTTTATTGTTATAAGTTTCTTTTAAAAAACAAAATATTGTTAAATTAGGCCGAGTAATGCAAAATTTCAGTATATTAAAATATAGTTTTTGTGTTAAAACGCAATTTAGTTATAAAGAATCTGAGGAAGGTTTTTTTTAAATGGTATTGGTCAGGACTGACGAAATCTGTCAGGTATTAAGCTGGTTTCTTGTATATTTCCTTATATAAATTTTTATTGCTAGCAATGACTGCTTTTTGAATATCAATATATCTTGGCATGTTTGCATTTTATAACAAGATTCATTCATAATTATTGTATTATTTCCCTTAAAATGACAAATCGGCGATTGTACTCAATATTTGAATCAATAATTTGTGGATTTCTTAGTGACCTGTTGTTTCATAATTTATTGAAGTCGTGAGAAGTGGTCAAGAATGAGGTAGGTTAGAAAAACACCTTTTTCGCCGACGTTTCGACCTTTATTCGGGTCATCTTCTGTGTGGTTGTCACAACACTTACACACAAAACAGATATGACACCACAAGAATAGCACCACACTTTATGCCCTGAAGATGACCTGAATAAGGTCGAAACGTGGGTATAAAAATGAAAAAGGTGTTTTTCTAAACTACCCCATTCTTGACCGTTCCTCACGACTTCAAAAAATCAATAATTTATATTCCTTCAGCACAATTTTGGCCCGAATGCGTTTGACCGATTATAAAGCGTTTTCAAGTATCCAATATTTTGGGGCGGGGCCCACGGAAAATAGAAAACTATAGATAATGAAATTTAATTTTTAATTCGTTAATTGAAAGGTGAATTAAGAAGAAGGCAAGTACACATCTATTCATTTTATTAATATACATCTTGCGTAATAAATTTTGATTAAAATTTTGTTTTCTTAAAAAAATCGTAAAAAATTGACAAACGGTCAAATCGAAAAACTATATTTAAAAGTTGAAAAAGCAATACTGTACGACACCATTTCGATTCGAAAAATACTACCAACTCCTTACAACTAGCTTCGAAAGCTGGGTTTTTTTTGAAGAAGTGCGTCGTTCTGGAACGACGTCAGTAACCAATGTGTTCAATGTAAACAGATCAGTGAGAGTTTCATAGGAACAAGACAAAAGATGTTGTTCTTCATCAGAAGTTACTTGTTGCTAAGCGAAATGTATATATTTGTCGACATAGTATACATATAAGGAAACCCGGAGTCCGGATAATTTGATTCTCGGATAATCTAACCCCGGGGATAATGGCGGTTCCCAACCCTTTATTCATTCTTCAACTGCGTTGAAATTTACGTTCAAATAAACAAATAATTTATACTAAATCACTTCAGTCATTATAACTAAACTTTATAGTAAAGCTAACAATCGTGTCCATGCAACCAGTTATATTATCTAATAAATTAGTGTTTTCTAATAAAAGTAGAGCGTCCAGCCAATGAATGAGTTGACATGCTTTTGTGCTGATTTACTGTAGACTAATGTTAGTGCGACTGTTAAATTTTGATTCGCCATAAATCCAATGTGCGAAATAGCTCAACGTCTCGGGTTCCAGGAATAAAGGAGCGTTTTATATAATTTATGTCTTGAAAAGTGGCTAACAAAGATTGATAAAAAGAAGAACGGTTTTGTTTTATGCTGATTTAATTTATTAAAAAAATTATACTGGCCGAAACCTGACTTTGACTTGGAATTATGTGAAAAGGACAGCTCTAAGCTTGAAGTTGAGAATTAAACGAGAAATAACAGGAGTATATGCAGGTGTTTCAAAAATAACTATTATCCCGCAAGGTAGGTAGCATCAATAGGTTTGAACAAAAATTATCATAATTTAGTTATTCATCTAACTGGGCCATACGGGATAACCGGGTCACCAGTAACGATGATTAGGCGATTAGTAGTTCTCGGGTTTTCCTACCCCAATGAAAGCAGCCTTGTTCCACTAAAAAACATGGGGTTGTGCGTGATCCAAGGCTGCACATAGCTGCTTACACAGCTCTAATTGGATTTTATGGGATGGAAGTAACATTTAAGTATCGTGTTATACAAAAACGAGAACACCTTTTCTATAATATTCGATTTTTTGATCGTATGATAAATAATTCAATGGCGTTTCCTAGGATTTTTTTTAAACGTCGATAACTCATATAGTGTTGTACCAGAAGAGTTTAATATGTAGAAGCTAAATAACAAATAATTTGTGAAGTTGAAAACTAGAAATTCACAATTGAAATAATGAGCACGTATGTGACAAATCTACGACTTACAATCTACATATTCATTACTTCAGTCAAACTATTAGGCGAAACAAAATTCTTTCTGCATGGTTGATGAGTTCGCTATCACCACTGACGTATCCGTTTTAATATGGTGAAAGCTGATAAGTCCAGTTGGGGTGTAAGGAGAGAGAAAAAAACAACAGATTATTATTCTTTGTTTGAAAGTTCTACACGTGTGCAAATCGATCGAAAAAAATCGGCACAATTTCTAAAATCTAAAACTCATACCGAGCGAAAAATAATCTAAGCAACAATGATATTACTAAAGAGTTCTGACCTATCCGTTTGAACATGACAACTGATGAAGTCTAACAATTAAGTAATCATCCGGGGAAAAAGCCACGAAAAGAATATTTTCTCTCGGAAAACACTTGTTGACGGAAGAGTTCAATTTATAAGAAATTTTTAAATTTGAAAGCGCATACTAAAGTCCAGTATGAGTTAGAACGATGAAACAAAGAATAGATTCCTTCTTTACATTAGAAAAGAGAATATTGGTTCCGGTTAGTTAGAGGAGATAGGGAGGGGAGAGGGAGAGGGAGTGAGAGTGAGAGAGTGAGAGAGGGAGAGAGAGAAAGAGAAAGAGAAAGAGAGAGAAATAAAACAGACAGGCAGAATGAAAGGGAGAGAGAGATTAGAAGTAGATGATAGAGAGAGAAAAAAAGAAAAACAGACATACAAAAATATATGTAGAGGGGGATACATGAAAAGTACAGAAATAATGAAACAAAAGCAAAAGAGAGAGAGAGAGAGAGAGAGAGAGAGAGAGAGAGAGAGAGANGAGAGAAGGGATGCTAAAAAAGTAAGAAAAATTTTAAACCTACATAACAAAGGATATAGGTATATAAAA